TAAATTAAAGGCTTTATTTTGAAGATATCAAGCCGTTCAGGCAGAGGGGTGGGCCACCTAACCGTAGTGGGCCACCTAACCGTGGATTACGTTAATGCAAGCCAAATGGTGTAGTTATTTGAGGAAACGGTGTCTATGAACAGCCCATAGCATTAGTATTCTTGGGAGTAGGAGGATTAAGTGGCTGAAGGGTTAAGATTTCTGTAGTAGCACGAGCAATGTGTATTTTCAATGCAAGTAGTGCTGTCGAGTAGTGGTTCAATACTAGCCTTCCATGAACTCAGGCGGTTGTTGTTTATATTTCAGGTCCAGCGGGGCCAGAACTGATGGTAATGATAGTACTGTTAGTAAGTAGTACTAGTGGCTGACGGTCTTAATATCCGGACTAGTATCCAAATGATGGACAGTAATGAGCTTTATGAAGATATCATTCGTAGCGTATCGAATAACAGGATATTTCCAATGGTTCATCTTTCAAGTGCTGCAGAGCAAAGGAAAGCAAAGCAGTAGTAGATGAGGGAACGGGAAGATGCCGACCGGGAAAGCCGTGGGTCCCGTGCTCTGGTGCCTGAGGCTTCTATCAAATGGTCTCCGCCTCCTCCAATTTTGGAGAAGCACAACCACCCCCAACACAACAATATCAGCACCACCACCACCTCTCCTCCAATGGCAACAACTTTTTCCTACTATCTACTATATCAAAATTCACCCGCGAGTTCATATATTGCATGTACCAACATACACTGAATGCCTATGGGTTCCAAGGCCCAGATGCTCGACGACCGGTCAACAGCTCTGCCTCCCCACCCTCCCGCACCAGAAAGATGTCTTCGTGCCGTACCCCGAATCGATCCACCAGATACACCCCAGGTTCCGAGGTGAACGTCATGCCGGCTTGAAGGAGGGTCGCATGGTTGCCCTTGTTCAGATAGGGGCTTTCGTGGGCTATCTCGCAACATCAGCATGAGCCCGATATCACAGACAAACCTCCAGGTCCTCCACACAGACCCTGGCGACTCACCTTTGATTCCAATTCCGTGTCCAACACGATGGGTGAAGGCCTCCCCGTACCCGGCGTCCGTGATCACCTCCCGGGCAGCAATATCGACGCTGGCAGCACTGGCGTCGACCCGGAACTGCCTGATGGATTGCGTTTGAGCTTCAAAGACAATGTCCCACACCTACAGCAGTCAGCCAATTGATCTCGCTTGTACAGGTGAGGATCCAGGTATACCTCCAGCTTGTCTCTCAAACGCGTCGGGGCGGGCATATCCGGTGTCGGTGGCTCAAGGAACGGCGGGAAAAAGGTTCGACAGATATCCGATGAGTACCCAAGGAGATGGGCGCTGACCGAGGTCAGCAGTAGCTACAGTGAGACAGGCAACGGTCCTGTGTATCGACTTACCCTACATCAATCAAAACAAAAGTTTCCGGCTCAAGCACCTTCGAACCGTTGGTGCCTCCATGTGGGTTGGCGGCATTCTCGTCTACCCTCCACGGTCAGTCTTGCACCTTTGCAGCGGTCGGACACGTACCAAACAAGACAATATCAAAGAATGGCTCCAACCCAGCCGAGCGAAGGGTATTGTCCAGGGTCCTTGCGATCTCACTCTCGGTTAGACCGGGGTAGAGGCCTACTTAGTGTCAGTCCGTCCACAGTGCGACCGAGTGGGGGATCACGAACATTTGCGCATCTGCCGTACGGCTTCCACGGTCCCGGTATTCACGGCGCGGAGAATCCCCACCTCAGTGTCGGATTTGATCTGCCGGACGCGCTCCACTTCTCCCATCAGCCCGACGATTTCGAACCCTGAGTGACCGAGACCCCGTTGGATAAAGTCCCTCATTTCCTCGTCCACCATGAGTCGCGGTGCTCGATCATGTGCCGAGAAGATGACAGAATCCTTCAAGGTATCGTATGGGTTCCAGTGTTCCTCCCAAGGAATGATGTCGATCGGCTCGAGAAACGGCATATTTAGCAGTCGGGCTCGCTCCGCCTCAAATGATGGGGCTAGGAATGTTGTCTTTGCGGTAACAAGGCCCGACGAGTGACGATAAGGCTGCACCACCATAAGAAAAGGGCGTTCCTCCGGCTGAGCGATATTAGTAGACACAAGAGTTCTTGGGGAGAAAGAGCGCCCACCTCCCAGACCTCCCATTCCGGCTGGCTCACGTTGGCATAGTATTTGAACGTATACCCCGGCTCCACGACAAAGGCGTCTGCCCCATCGGCGATCAGAGCCCTCGCGAGGCGATTCCTGCGCTCATCGAACTCCTCAACTGAGATGGGCGCAGCGGTATCCAGAAAATAGTACTCTGTTTCTCGAAGATTCTCAATTGAACATCGCTCGAAAGATTCATATGGTGTAACCGACGACGGTTGCTGGAAGGGGCTGAAGAGCGACAGCCTCTGCCTTTGAGTCAGACCCCGGCCGTCGATTCTAATGGTGACGCGTACTTACTGGGAAGAGCGCGTAGATGCTAAGCAACAGTAGACCAGCGCTGGTAAAAAAGTGCAGAATAGACCTCCGGTATTGATGCGGTGGTTGATGGAGTAGCGGTCTTTCCTCCACCAGTGGGAGAGACTCGGTCTGCTTGTCCAGCATGATTCTGCCGAGAAGGGGAAGAATAACGAAAATTGTTTCAAGGAATCCAGACAATGGATTTATCGCCATGCGTCTGCAGGAGTCGGGGGAGATCCGAGCGCCTGCAGGTCTGAAAAAGAGGGGAAGATGCGCTGAGATTCCCCGCCCGGTTGGATCTCCCTTGATTGGATTCTCTAGCATCTCCCTTGGCGACTCGCAGCTTATCGCCGAATGTCGCGGTTGGTCCGCCGCCGTCCAGGCTGTTCTTCATTGGGCTTATCAGATATGTTAGTCCAGTCTCTTGCGGGACAAACGAGGCTCGGATCGGCCGACAGACGGGACAGATAGGCAAGGTCCAGCAGAGATAAATACACGCACCTCGTCATGGTTCGATTGGGTTGAGATTAGGAAACTGCTAGGCCATTGAGGCAGACGCAGGGTTGACCGCTGAGATGGCTCGCAAAGAGGATCAAGACTCGGTACAGACGACGGGAGCAGCTCAGCCTGCCAAACAGACACAGGTGCAGATATCACCGGACGCCGCCGAAGATGTCGCTCCAGATCAAGGCCGACCAAAGACCTCCAAACTCTCGGTCTTACTGATGATTGTGTTCTCCGGTCTGGCCATTGGCTCCGACGGTTTCAACGCATCCATTATCGGCAACCTCGAATTAGTCATGGAGGTTATCTATCCAAAAACTCTCACCACGGCTGTCGCATCTCGTTTGTCCAACGCCTTTATGGTAGGTATGATCATCGGCATGTTGTCCTTCGGATACTTGTCCGATAGATTGGGCCGCAAGACCGGCGCGGTCTTGACCACCGTCATCCTCGTCCTAGGGATCGCTTTGAGCGCTGGTGCTAGCGGAACTGACCAAGATGGAATGTTTTGGATGTTGATAATTGCAAGAGGAATCGCTGGTGTGGGCGCGGGTGGGTGAGTTCGACTATCATCACCTCAAGCGATTATGGATCTGTTACTCACTTGTTCCCCAGGGAGTATCCGGTTGCCGGGGCTGGTGCTGCAGAAGCCACCGATGAAGATCTGGGGGTCCGAAACAAACGAGGCTTCATCTTTGCTATGATTGCTGACCTGTCGGCTTCCCTTGGGTTCGCCTTTGGTGCCCTAGTCCCGCTGCTGTTGCTTCTGTGCTTTCACCAGGAGGTCCGTAATTACGAAGCTGTCTGGCGGATTTCACTCGCGCTGGGGGTAATTCCTCCGCTCTCCATCTTTTGGTTTCGATACCGAATGGCTATCAGCTCGGCTTATCGCAAGAGCTCGATGCAGAAGCAAACAGTGCCCTACTGGCTGGCACTAAAGCGTTATTGGCGTCCGTTGTTAGGCACGTGCGGCTCTTGGTTCATGTAAGTAATGCAGTATACGCTATTGTCCGTTGTGATTCTAATCCTATCGCCAGTTATAACTACATCTCGTACCCGTTTGGGCTATTTTCATCAACAATTGTCAATCGCGTGAACCCGACCTCCTCTCTCGCACTAACAATGGCCTGGGGCACACTCATCAACTCTTTTTACATCCCCGGGGCATTCATCGGGGGCTTCCTGTCCGACCGGATTGGGCGGCGGCGGACCATGGCGCTCGGGTACTTTCTTCAGGCTGCACTGGGCTTTATACTGGGTGGCGCGCTGGGACCCATCGAAAAGTCGCTGCCACTCTTTATTGTGCTCTATGGCGTTTTCCTCACGCTCGGAGAGGTGGGTCCCGGATCGACGATTGTCGTGACAGCCAGTGAAAGTTTCCCGACCGCGATACGCGGGCATGCCGTGGGATTTGCAGCGGCATGGAGCAAGGCGGGGGCGGCCATTGGCACGGCGGTTTTCAAGCCTATCTTGGCCAGCTGGGGAGATGATGAGTTTCGCGGCACGCAAGCCGTGTTTCTCATTGGCTCTGGGTTCGCCGTTCTAGGGGGGCTCTTGGCCTGGTTTGTGTTCCAGGATGTGAATCACGCGCTGGACAATGAGGACCAGGCTTGGAAGGACTATCTGGCTGCTAATGGCCACGGTGATGTGCAGTGGGGTATTGCAAGTAACTCAGTGCATGAGCCGGAACCGAAGGCAGTGCAGACGTAGTCTCGGCGACTCTGTCGCCACTATAGTGTTATCGGTTGGCCGGTATGCTGCCGAGCAGTACTCGAAAGTAGCCCATTATGATTGTATACTCTCTAGCGTCTTAAGCATCCGGGGAAATCTCGTATTCTTCAGCTCCAAGGAGGGCATTGCCGTCGCTTAAACATTTCAAATCCAGTCTAAAGGGAGTGCGATTGGGTGCCACAAGCCTGCCCTTAATCGCGAGGGCATGTGTGGCCGTCCTAGACCCAGAGAGTCGAACTTAGCATCATGCAGGAACTGACTGGGTCAGGTCAGGCCATATGGGTCATTGGGTGCGGTAAAAGTAGCCGACGGTGCGCAGTATCTCAGGACACTCCATCGCATTCAAAAGACCACAGGACGAGGGACGTGTACGCCTTGAATCAGATGTGTTCTAGCAGGCACATCACAGAAAATATTATACTTCAGACTATTGATATCGTCCGCAAAATTCAACACAATCCCTTTCCTGAACATCCCCACAGCTGGTGATCGATGGTGGAAATTCCCTCGACAATCCGGCCCTGATCGAGAACGACAGAGCCACGAGGAACGATCATTACGACGCGGGGCAAGGATCGTCTCCCAATCGCGATGGCAATACCAATGTGATAGTAATGATGCTGACAGCGAAGGCAAAATAACCTTCGGCAGTAACTGCCTCAAGCAGCTGCCTAACCACTCGGTGCCTGTATTTCGGTCGCGATGGCACATTTATATCGATGGTCCATCAAGATATCTCATCAATAGGTGGGGAAATCAGCCAGCCACGCTCGTTTCATATCTCAGTGCTTCGGGGTTACCGTCTTTATTGACGAACGAACGAGATACATCTTGCAGAGCCAAAGGATTCATCCATATAAAGAGCACCTTGAATCCCATGAAGTCTTTAGCTCTCAGCAGAGCTTACCTTCTACGTTGACAACACAATCTCTGTTGACATTCATCACCCTGCCATACATCTTCAGCCATGTCTGTCACTGCTGGAACGTGGACACTCGCAAGAGCCACCACCGAAGCGGTCGAGTCCTTCTTCGGACTACATGAAGAAGGTAATGAAGCCGTCTTCGATGATGACCGTGAGCTGGTGGACCGCAAGCACTTTGCCCCAGGGGGAAAGTATCGCTGTAAGAGTGTCCCAACCCCCTGCACACGATATTCAATCCACTGACAGCCAGTAGCTATCATCAAGCTGTTTATGCGGTATGAAGGCCAGGAGCCTGACGACCAGCGTCATGCCATGGGCACGGGATGGTTTGTTCGCGATGACACCCTTGTGACTGCTGGTCATTGTGCCTTTGACTGGAGCCAGAACGATGGCAAAGGGTTCGGTCGGGCAATCGAGGTTAAAGCGTACATTGGCTACAACGGCAAAAGGTCTATCAATGACCCCAGCGTCCAGTTCCGGCACGGCGTCCAGATCGTGACTACCGAAGGATGGCTTCAATCTGGGGTGAATCGCCATCACGACGTGGCTTTTATCCGGCTCGATCGGCCCTTCACCAATGTCACCACCCTTTTCAAGCCGACTGAGACCCCCTTATTCAGCAAGGATATCATTGGCGTAGTGGGATATCCCGGTGACATGCAGGTGGATGGAGAGTTTGGCGCACAGATGTAAGAAGAATTCAAGACTGTCGAATGGGATCGGCGCAAGGCAGCGAACCAGATGCTGGAGTATCGCATCGATACATACAAAGGTGCAATGCAAAGTCGATATTATCCATTCTACCTGCTAACTCTCATCTTAGGTCAATCAGGGTCTCCAGTCCTTGTGCAGAACCGGCCTTTGATCTCCATCGGTGCTCATGTCTATGGGGGAAGCTGGAAATAACTCAGCCAGCCCCATCGGAGGGGAGTATGGGAATCCATACCGTGAATACATCTCCATTCTCCAGAGACAGTATCCTGTGTAGACGACTAAAGCTGGCATCAAGTACGTCCGTGTGGGCGGGGACAGCATGGACAGGAAGTCGGATGCGGAGGACGGCTTCTGGGACGACCTGAAGGATGTGCTCAGAGTCGGCGCACCAATGGTCTCGGGCGCCCTGCAGACGGTCAGTCCATTCTTGGGTCCCATCGGAGGACCGATTGCCGCTCTAGCTGGCACTGCCATCTCCGTGGCCGCCAAACGGAGTGTCGAGAGTGGGCTTACTGATGCCCATCCGGGTGAATCCGCTTAGTCTCGCACGGCCGAAGAAGCCATTCTGTCCGAGGCTGCGCTGCAGGCCTTCTTGCGGGCGGATGCCGACCGTATGAAACAGCTCGGTATCAGCACGCGGATTATGGAGGAGTTCAAGAAGGCAGCTGCAGATGTTGATCTCGTGGCGCCTACGATCTTACCGGCCATTTTGCCGGCGGCGTTGCATCTCTCGCAAGATATCTACACCCAAAAGGGTGCAGAGGCAGATAGGGAACCATTCCATCCGACATCGTACGGTCGGCGGGAGCCAATCCGCCTCCCAAGGGATTTCCGAGATGACTCGTTCACGCACTACTTGCTCAAGTCGGTGGAGCGCGAGACGGAGGATGAGATCTTCTGGGGCATGTTGGGTTCAGTGCTGTCGGCTGCCTCCAAAGGGGCGAACGCCGTTCAAACTGGACTATCTGTCATTAGCAAGATTGTGCCGACGACTGAGGCTGCCTTTGAAGAACAGCCAATGGACCCGTACCTGAAGGTCTTGGGCCGTCGTGCCCTGCTCGCCGGGGCGACTCTGCAAGTGCTCCGCAATACGCCACCGGAGCAGCTCGAGACAGAGGACTTCTTCACCCGCATCCAATTTATCATGCAGAAGATCGGGCCTGCGGTGATGAAGTTTGCACCTGTGGTGGTCTCGGCGGTTCGTCCAGTTCTCACGCCTATTATTCAGCCTCCAGCAGGGACTACTCCTCTTGCTGGATCCTCGTCGTTGACCCAGGGCAGCAGGGTCTTCCTCGACAGCAGGTCAGTCGACCTTGGAGGTGCCAGGAGGCGTCGGTGGGCTGAAGAAACGACCGAGTCAGACCTTCTTCGACAAGGTAATGAGCACAGCCAATGGTAAGTTTTCTGCCTTTTTCACGATGGTTAGGAATGAACTGAAAATAAAGTAGGATTTAGAGTGCAAGCTGCTCCTGCGTGAGCGTGTTTCCGAGAGCCAGGATGCGACCGAGGCTAGTGGATCCAATCAAGATGGGTTGATGTGGACCAGTATGAATGACGCTTGAAGAGTCATATAGACCTTCTGTATGTAGAGGATGGAATGCAATGCCTGGATTTTATTCTACTCCTATCTACGATCGCAGGATATATCAGTGCACCGAAATCACTCGCCAACAACCCATCCTTGAGCTACAAGTAGTAATACTCTTGGAAGAGATTCGAAGGAATGTTCTACGACACTCATGGATTAAGACAGGAATATTATGAATATATGTATTGTCTTTATCATCAATCATACAGGATCTATCTTCCTTCTGTACCATGCTAAGCCTGGAGAGATCCGAGAATGTACGCATTTCGGACGCGGCTCAGCTTTTCAGGTGTACTTTCCCTCAGTCCATTATCTCCTTACAATCCACCACTGCATAACAGTCTGCCGTCTACTTCCGAAAAGGCACCGGACTAGGCAAGGCAGTCGGGGTGTTGTCGCGGGACCGCGTCTGCACCAGATGCTCAAAAGATGGCGCATACTCGACCCGCGGGGTGAAAGGGTCAAAGTCCCAGAGGTAGCCGAGGGTGCGCAGGATTGACGAGGCGGAGTAGGACACGGAGTCGCCGGTGATGCTAGTGCCCTTTTGCTCGACATATCCCTTACCCACCCATGGGGAGATCAGGAGAGTGGGGATACGACCACCCAGACGGTTGAAGTTGAAGGTATAGTCCTTGCCATTCGGGGTGGTAGCCGTGTAGGTGAGGTTGTCCGGCCGGGGAGCCAGGGGCGGAGGCACATGATCATGGAAGCCACCGGTCTCGTCGAAGCTCAGGATGAAGAGGGTCTCGTTCCACTGGGGACCGGCGCGCAGGGCGTCGTAGACGTTCTTGATCAGCTTCTCGCCGTCGGAGATCAGACCACTGGGGTGCATAGAGTTGGTGCCGACACCGCAGCACGAGGGGTTAACGTAGCTGAATTCCGGCAGGGCACCAGCGGCGGCATCCGTGTAGAACGTCTCCAGGGCCTTGACCTTGTTGGTGTTGTTGGAGGTGTAGGTCCAGTTGTAGAACTCAGCATCGGGACCCGTGCCACCAGCCGTGTCCCAGTAGTTGATCCAGGAGTGGCCGGTCTCAGTCAGCTGCTGGAAGATGGAACGCTGGGGAAAGGCGTGGTTATCAAAGGCCTCGTCGTTGGTTCCGTGACCATACGAGGTACCCGAGGTGAGTGCAGCCCGGTTGGGGTTGGTCGGCTGGATCGGGGTTAGCAACTTGCCATTCACAGGTCACAATTGGGAAGGAGATACGTACGCCAGGCACATCCGAGTGCCAATGGTTGAAAACGACAAAGTTCTGGACGAGCTCGGTGAGCACAGGCACCTGCTGCTCAGTGTAATAGTTCATGACCTGCACGGACAGCTCGGTGCGGTTGGCATCGGCGCTGTACAGGCGCAGTTGTTCGGTGACGAACCCCTGCTGGGAGGGGGTTAGTTTGCCCTGGGCGATGGCCGCATTGTCGGGAGTGAAAGTGCCATAGAACTCGATGTTGTTGCCATAGACCGCATGGTCGGGATCATCGGTGACCGAGTCATAGTCTCTGGCTGCACTGCAGACGGTGCCCTGGGAGAGATCGGTGATGTTGTAGGGGTTGCAGAAGGGGCCGTTATTTATAGGGTTCTCCAAGCCCTTGATGGTCTGACCTCCCAGCAGGTTGTCCACGGAGCGGTTTTCCATGACCAGAACGACAACATTCTTGATCTTGGACTTGAGGTTCTGGATGGCGGAGTCGGAGTGAGCCTGATGGCTGGGGTTTGCCGGGATGGCCGAGGCAGCGGCAGCAAAGGCCAGCAGACCGACCAGCGCACTGGGATGCATGGTGAGCTAGTTGGGGGTTGAGGTACAGAGGGGAGAGGCAGAATGCAGTACCCTGGTGATGATACAAGCCATTGGCAAGATGGTCGAAAGGGAGCCTTCTTATAGCATCTTTAGGGTGGATATAGAGCTGTCACTCGGACAGGTTTTATCCTCATCTCTCCCCCTGCAGGGTCTGCACGTGGTGGTGTCAAGTGGTCGAGAATCCATCTATTTTGATTGAAAGAGTCCGTCTCATGAGTTAAGCGAGCCATTCGCATGGACTCCATTATCCATTATTCACCACTCCTCTTACCCATCGGCAGGAACACGAAGCACGGGTGCAGCTCCAATGGAATCGATCTGCAGGGGCACGAGGCACGGGGTCGGAGGGTATTTCGAAGGGGTCTCCCCACATCTGGAGACACAACCTATCTACTACCGAGTACTACCTTGACTGTTGAGTGTGGCCGAGGCTTGTTCTACCGTCCGTCTTCATTGCTTGCCGATGCACGATCATCGGGGATCGACAGCCCCCGTGCGTGGTCACTTTCGCATGATTGGCTGCTACCCTCCAGCCGGGATAATTAGTTGACTTAGTAGTACTCCGTATGATGTGGTAGTATGTAGTGGTGTTACATGACAACATGTCAAGCAATCATGCCAGAAGAAATTTCCTTTGTGCCTGGAATCTATCGATTGGAAAAGCAGAAAGGTAGAGAGTAAGGGCACAGCCGTTGAATGAGAGAGGTCAAGAGGAATCCGGCGATCGGTAGCTTCCGGGCCGCTCCGATACAATGCACACGAAGAGCAGAACAGGAACAGGAACAGAAACAGGAAGTATGGTAAGGGTTATAGAAGTAACAATGTATTTTCCAATAGAGTGTCAAGTCACAGTGAACAGCCATGAGATATTATCGGATGATGGGATGGTCCTCGCATTGACACCCCAGGGGGCAAGGCCACAAGGCCATAAGGCAGCAAGGCGATACGGCATAACTAACGTGATGGCTGACTGCATGACTGCCTCGGGATATCTTAATTCGATGGCATCTTTTCACTGTATGCGGATTCTTTGATGGTGATGTGATAATCTCGTTCCAGCTGCCTCAGTAACACACATCAATTTGGTCATCCACATTTACCCCCCTCCTCCATCACGAAATGAACATTCCGTTCTATCCTAACTGGTCCCTTCCTCATCGCATCCGCGCACCGCATTGGGAATAGTACCCTCACCCGGATTGTCTATCCACCAGATATCGCAAACCACAGGAGGGCCCTTATAAAATCATTGCGCAGTCACAAACATGGCGACGGTACCATTCCTCGAATTTGCAAGTGAACCCTCCACTTGGTATCATCCACCATGACCGTGTCACCCAACCCATTACCTCACGACCCCGTTCCCGGTTATGTCGTGACCTATCGCGGTAACGTCGTGGAAAACAGACACCAATTCCATGCCGCCGTCACCGATGCCACGGGCCGCATCATCTATGCCGTGGGAAATCCCACGCGTGTCACTTTGGCCCGCTCGGCTGCGAAACCTGCCCAAGCCCTGGCAGTTCTGGAAACCGGCGCCCTAGAAAAGTTTGACTTCGACGAAGCAGATCTGGCGCTGATGTGCGCCTCCCACAGCAGTGAAGATCGCCATCTTGCCCGTGCCCGCGCCATGCTGGCCAAAATTGACCTGCAGGAAGAGAACTTGCGTTGTGGAGGTCATGCGGCCCTGTCGGAGTCCGTCAATCGAGCATGGATCAAGCGGGACTGGACGCCGACGGCCATCGCAAACAACTGCTCAGGCAAACACGCCGGCATGCTTGCCGGTGCAAAAGCTCTGGGAGCGCCTCCTGCAGAGTACCACTGCATCAATCATCCTCTACAGCAACAAGTTACGCACGCCGTCGAGGAGCTGGCGGGCTTGCCCTCAGATCGTGTCCAATGGGCCATCGATGGCTGTAACCTGCCCGCTCCCGCGCTACCCCTGCAGAATCTAGCCAGCATCTACGCCCGCATCGCCAATGCGGCCAATGCAGCCCCTACAGATCACCAGTCTCCGCGGGCACAGGCGCTAGCTTGCATCTTTCGAGCGATGGCAGGCCATCCAGAACTGGTCGGGGGAGATGGTCGGTTCTGCACCGCGCTCATGCGGGCATTTGAAGGAGTGTTGATTGGTAAGGTGGGAGCGGACGGCTGCTATGCTATTGGAGTGCGTGCTTCAGGCTACACCCAGCAACTGGGGATTAGCGGGGCTCTGGGGATTGCGGTCAAGATTGAGGATGGCAACCGGGGGGTACTTTACGCCGTTGCGGTCGAGATCTTGCGCCAACTCCAGATCGCCACTCCCGCGCAGCTGCAGTCGCTGGAGGCATTTCATCAACCCGTGATCCGAAACACTGCCGGCGTGGTGACGGGGCACACCTCGCACCAGTTTCAGATCAGCTCGGTATAGTTACTAGTAGGAGGGAAGTTGCATATCATAGAATTATCTTTGAGTACAGACGATGAGGGATTGATCTGTGGGGGAAGGCCACCTACAAAGCCTCAAGGCGTGGAAAAGGATACCTACTATAGCCCTTGAAGGTACTACATAGAAGAAACATATTACTAGTAGAAACTACTGCTATTAGTAGTAGATAATTAAATATCCTGCTTGTACTACGTATCATCTTCACGCTGACATCGATATATATTTTGGTTCGGAGGTTTCGGATAGTACTATCCAAATGCGATGCTACTGCCATTAAATGTCAATCCGAGTGCGGCAAACTGATGACGGAGGTCTCTGATGACAGACAACAAGATAAGATGACATATTGCCTCGCTGTCATGCGGATAGCGGCTTCGAGAAGGATTCTCTGCCTTATCGCAAAGGTGAATGCTACCCTCGGGTGGACCTTCTCCGGCAGTTGGGCTTATCGTGAGGAGTCAACACCGATATCGGGGCCAAGCCCTTTATCAATTATCATTCTATCGGTTTCCGTCCACTAGTCTATGGACCCTGAATCCCTTCTAGCTGGATAGACTAGTAATCTTCCCATGTCAACTCCATGTGGAGAAACTTTGATAAGACCATGTGGAGGAGATAGCAAGCCTCCACAGAACAAGACCATCTCCCACTGCAATCACGGCTGGGTTCCGAACAGACCCGCGTGCCAGCACAAACATGATGGTATATAAATTGCTGCATCCAGACAAGATGAACTGTAGAAGAAGCCAGGAGCTATCATCTCATCAATCTACATCATGCCTCTCAAGCCCTTTCTCTTCTCCGCACTGGCCACTCTCGCCTCGGCCTCTCCGCTGCTCTATATGCGGACGACCAATGAGACTTTCGTCTTCACCAATGCCAATGGCCTCAACTTCACCCAGATGAACACCACCCTGCCGAACGTGACCATCTTTGCAACAGGTAGGTGGACTGAGTTCGGTTCCGGGATTGCGACCGATAGCTAACCTCAGCTCACAGGTGGTACCATTGCCGGTTCTGACTCCAGCTCAACAGCCACGACCGGCTACACCTCTGGAGCAGTCGGTGTCCTGTCCCTCATCGATGCAGTCCCGTCCATGCTGGATGTGGCCAATGTTGCCGGTGTGCAGGTGGCCAACGTGGGAAGCGAGGATATCACCTCCGACATCTTGATTTCCATGTCCAAGAAGCTGAACCGCGTCGTGTGTGAGGACCCGACCATGGCCGGCGCCGTCATCACCCACGGCACCGACACCCTCGAGGAAACTGCCTTCTTTCTGGACGCCACCGTCAACTGCGGCAAGCCGATTGTCATTGTGGGTGCTATGCGCCCGTCCACGGCCATTTCGGCTGACGGACCCTTCAACCTCCTCGAAGCTGTGACGGTGGCTGCCTCTGCTTCGGCGCGCGATCGCGGTGCTATGGTCGTCATGAACGATCGTATTGCCTCGGCCTACTACGTGACCAAGACTAATGCTAACACCATGGACACCTTCAAGGCCATGGAGATGGGTTATCTCGGCGAGATGATCTCGAACACCCCTTTCTTCTTTTATCCGCCCGTCAAGCCAACCGGCAAGGTGACCTTTGACATTGCCAACGTGACTGAGATTCCCCGCGTGGACATCCTATTCTCCTATGAGGACATGCACAACGACACCCTGTATAATGCAATCTCTAGTGGTGCCCAGGGAATTGTGGTAAGTGATATTGCTCGATATGTCGGTGAAGTGAGATGGATGCTGATGAGACTAGGTTGCTGGTGCCGGTGCTGGAGGCGTCACGACCTCCTTCAACGAGGCCATCGAGGACGTCATCAACCGTCTGGAGATCCCCGTCGTGCAGAGTATGCGCACTGTCAACGGGGAAGTGCCACTGTCGGACGTGAGCAGCGACACGGCTACCCACATCGCCAGTGGATATCTGAACCCGCAGAAGTCGCGCATTCTGCTGGGATTGCTGCTATCTCAGGGAAAGAATATCACCGAGATTGAGGATGTCTTTGCTTTGGGCACGGATGCGTAGGCATCAATGGGGACGTTGCATATAATGATGACCACATGTAATGATCATGATAGATTGCAATAGAAAGTGACTGTATGTATATTAGCAAAGGACACCAAGCATTTTCCCCAGAGCTCGTAAACAATTCTATCTTACCGAAGACGACACTTGATCTCTTATCTCTTCGCCCCCTCGTATTCAGGGCGTCGGGCATGCAGGGTGCATTGCGTTCGAAGGATCCGAAGACGAAGTGACACGAGCCAAAGGCTGATCCTTGCATACCGTACGGCACCTCACGTTCATTGCCGGTGGTTGTTTGAGTCGAGCAAGGGGTCAGGTAGGGCCCGGCCTTGTGGTATCCTGTGGGACGAACAGATGGTAGCCCACCTACCGATGAGACGGTCTCCTGTCATCATTGCACCAACACACAGAAGGGATTTCGCAAGGATCGTCACTATTTACTTCGATCTTGATCACACGCACCACGCAAAGGCTATCCAGAGATTTCTTATTTGTTGATCTAGACCGTAATCCTGTTCCAGGGGATAAGCATGAAGCATAAGTGGTATACGCCAAGCCTTAGAAATGTAGTAAGCTGGGATCTTACTTTTGGTTTAGGTAGAGGAGTTAGGTGGTATTTGGGCAACTAGGGTGTTGTTCTGCTTACAACCCATGCGAGGCATATCACTGGGGAGTACAGAGAATAGACGATCAGGCGTGACAGAATATAAAGCGCGATGATCGTCCGCGGACGTGGAGGGGACGAAGACCCTTAGTTGATCGGTATGATTCGCGGAACTCCCGGGGTCTTCACGGCTTTCGATAATGCGGGATCGGATCCTCTCAGCCTCGTTTATGCAAGTGAGATTCCGAAGGGCTCTCTTGCACCTTAGCTCTCTGACACTCCCATTCTTTGCTTACTTGCGATAGATTCTATAGGCTAATTTGTAAACCCCTTAGCTCGGGGTGGGCTGTTTGATTGTGGCACGAGGTCTCGTCAATAAATCGTAGCCTGATGATAGAGGGCGCTGATGATGATATAGGGCAACCTATATAAAGAACGGAGAATTATTCTTGCTCGATCATCACACAGGTCTGTTAATTAGATGTATTTGGGGATCAACTGAAGCCCATCGTCGATAATTGTCCTTCGAAGATTCTGCCACTGCACCATGGAGCTAGGAAAGACCGGGTTTCGCACGGTCGCAGAACCGCATCCAACACATCTAGTCGGAGGGGGGGTTTGTCTAACTATTCATCTATTGTGCAAATCCAGAGTGACTGATCTATTATTGTGGAACTGCAGAATCTAAATAAGAAGGTGACTGTGGATGACCTTCGTCGCGCAGTGCCCGACTACTGCTTCACGCCGTCCCTGTTCTGGTCTTGCTTCTACCTGTTGCGAGACCTGGCATACGCAGGAACCCTACTGACCGCACTGTACCAGCTGCTACAAACCAGTGCAGTGCATAATTCGTCACTGCTCTACTACCTCACGGTCAATGTGTATGGAGTATGTCAAGGCATTGTTTGGACGGGACTCTGGGTGATTGCACACGACTGTGGCCACAGCGGCTTCTCACGCTGGAGTGTGGTGAATGACCGCGTCGGATTCGTCTTGCACTCCTTTCTCCTCGCCCCCTACTTCTCCTGGAAATCAACTCATCGGCGGCACCATATCTATGCCAATCATATTGAAAAGGACCTAAACTATGTGCCGCCTCTGCGCCAGTCCTACGCCGACAAAATCGGCCAGGCGGTCGAGGTGCTCGAGGATATAGGACAGGATGCGCCCTTCGTCCTTTTCCTTCGCATTTTGCTGCAGCAGACCATCGGCTGGAATTGGTATATCCTAACCAACATCACCTGCCCTCCTACAGCTGTTCCCAAGAAAGGTATGTCGATGTGGCGTCACAGCCATTTCGATCCCCAAGGGGCATTGTTCTATCCCTCCGAGTGGCTGTCCATTGTGCTGTCGGATTTGGGCTGCTTCACTGTGATCGCCGGCCTTTATCAGCTTTATCAGCAGTTTGGTTCATTTGAGACGCTGTTTTGGGTTTATATTGTGCCGTGGACATGGGTGAACCACTGGGTCGGTATGTGCAACCCTCCCCTTTCCCTGACAAATTTGAGGTTATCTGACGAAATCTGTCTGAGTGTTTAGTGATGATCACGTATCTGCATCATACCCACCCATCGGTGCCCAAATACACCCCTGAATCGTGGAGCTTCCTGCGTGGCGCAACCGCGACCATGGACCGCGACTTTGGCATCATTGGGACGCATTTCTTCCATCATATCTCAACCGACCACGTCACTCATCACATATTCTCACGCATCCCGCACTATTATAGCCCTGTAGCTAGCAAGGCAATCATCCCGCTACTGGGGCAGCACTACCACGGACGGGGTGCATTCAATTACCAGGAGCTGCAGACGGCCTTCAGTCGGTGCCAGTGGGTGGAGGAGGACCCTGGAAAGGACGTAGCCTTTGGTTTACGGGCAGTGGAGACGTTAAATAACAAGGACGCGAATAACACAGGGTTGTGGTATCGTGGGGGACGCAGCCCCTTGCCAGAGTTTAAGATGCGCGAAGCCAAATCATTCTAAGGACCAAGGCGCAGAATCCATGGTAGTGAACTTTGGAAGGAGCTTAGACCGGTTGATTTCACTGCAATTGTCGGGGCTGCTGCCTAAGACGCCTCCATCATGATTGCCTGCCTCATGTCTTCCCTTGTAATAAATGCCTGCCATTACCAACATATAGCACGACTAATGGCGTTATGGTCATCACCTTAAACCAAACAACATTTCGCCAATACGTATCTATCTAAAGCGAATTCATGATGGGGTAAGTCCACTGTGCCGATAGGTCCCAGCCGGAGTCTGACATTGGACAGATACACCCACTACTACGGTGTCCGTAACACTCACAGCACAGAATGGGTCACCGCATGGCCCCAGCTGGTGCGGGATGCTCAGCGTGTGGTCGACGCGACTGATGTTCCCTTGTCCGGTCCAACCGACGACCCCCGGGACGACCATGTCACGGTACCCCTGGTCGATGAGATCGAAGGCATTGACATCAACGGTGTTGCAAAGATGTCGCATGAGCCTCTAATAATCCATCCCAAGAATATTCGTAGTTTCGAATTCGTGAAAACGGCCGGCAAGCCGTATGAAGCGGCGGTGGGCTGCATCCTGCTGCGGGCACACGTCTTGGCCCCGAAACAGTTCCATCTAAGGTAAAGAGATGCACTGCCCTGGCTAGTACGAGTCTCGGTTCTGATATGCGCCAGATCTGATGGGTCCTGGGATGAGATGGAATGGAAGTTGGCCCGTAATCTGTACGAGTCTCTGTGGCCAGAGCAGCCCCTGACGCGGCAGTTCTAGAGAGACAGGCTGGGAGAAGGTGGAACCGTTCGGCCAATTTGCAAAACACTGAGACAGGCTTATTCTTACAGTTAATACCATTATTTAAAGTTCATAGTGCTCTGGTCCATGGCTCGTGAAATGAATTCCCCCCCTATCTATCCTTCTCTCGGGTATTCTATATTCCTAAATAAATATCGGCCCAGCAAGCAGTTCACCAGTAACCATCAGTCCCCAAGCCAGATATCCCCGGTTGAGGGCACGCCCAAAATCCATGACTGGTTGAAGTACTTCTGATGGACCTTTTGTGCATAGGTCTGATCATTGACACAATAATTTCCCCCTGTTGGCCCGATATGTGGACAGTGAAGCGCCGGATCATACTGCACCATGTGCTCATGAACCTCCCGACATAACAGGGTATTTCGGCCTAGCTCGTAGTCCTTCCCGAGCGGAATCGCCGTAGTCAGGAAGTCAAGACAAGCCGTATTGTTATCGTATTGTTGGTTTGCCCCGGTGCAGTACTGGTCATGCGTTGCGCAGATGGTCGTGGCGAGGATCTGGGTCAGTGATGCCGTAGCCTGGCTGGTCGTGCCGTTGATGGACTCGGCCAACGCCTCCACGAGGGTATCCAGCAGAAACCCGAACCAGCGAAAGGTGGCATCATATTGCATAATGCGTCCGTCGGAATCCCACATGATCCACGTGTCAATGGTGACCGGTACCAGCAGATTGCCGAACGAAGTGGCATTAAAGGTGACAACAGTGGTCGCGGATGCGATATTCCCCTGGGCGATGAACTGCGTGATGCTATAGTCAACGGGAACCCCAACTAGGCTAACGTGGTCAGGGTCCGAAAACAGCCCAAAGATATACTCCGTGTTCAATTCGCTGCCGTTGAACACGCGGGTGATGTCTACTCGACCTTGTACCTGCAGGGAGATGTCAGCGACTATGTAGAAGGACAACTACCCTCCACATACATCCGGAGTAAACAAGGTGGAGTTAATGGCCTCCATCTGCTCAACATTGGCAGGATATAGGAAGTTGTCCCAGAAGGTAGTTTCCAACTTCCACAGCTCATCGACTGTATAATTCGGCGTAGTCGTGTTGGCCCTCCCCAACACCTGGGGAAGCCACAACACCCCGGCTGTTATAGTAGCCAGCAAGAGACGCATGCTGAGTAGAATACAGACTTTGCTGAAATTTCGAGTAGTCAAGAATATCTTGCCTGAACCTCTGCGCGGGAAGAGCATTTAAATATCGACTGGTAAAAAATGTCAGGTGGAGCCAAGACCAGGCATACACCTAAGAATGCCGGTTGGTATGCAGAGAGGCCAATCATGAGAACGCATTGAGCAATCATGAGGAATTGTCAATTGCACCCACAACAGCTGTGGCATGCCAATCTGGAGATCTCATTGGATGTACCAGTTCGCAGAATCCTTAGCTTGCCACGAGGGTCATTACTATTATATTCTGGCCTGCCGAGAACATCACCTGAACCAGCCTTGGGGTCTACGTGTGGAGTGGCTGAGGTGAGATGTGGAATCCCGTGCTATAGTTCCACCTCTCCTACTTATTCTAAGCTGATCAGCGACATCCTCATACCCTGCTGCGCGGACCTTGAGAGTGGAATTCCTCGGGGGTAACCGGAGGAATATTATAGTATTGTGCTAAATTGCTATCTGACGTTGTATGATGGGGGTCTCGACACTTCACTGATATAGCCTAGAGGGCAACTGAGGTAGCAATGTAGATTTGGGATGGGGACCCAGAATATAAGAAATCTAATATTATTGCGATATGTACTACATATAGACTCATTCGATGTACTACTTGCACGGGATCACATCACAGTACATTGAGCATAGAGTTTGCAAAGGTCTGAACAGGCAATAGTACTTAACATGAGTAACGATAATCAGTCTGAAAGGGGGGGGGCAGGTTGACAAAAAGATTTCACAGCCACAGGAGAAGACCATGCGAATCAGTAGCCGAGAACACCCGGGGTGCGCGGCTTCATGGTCACATCAAGCTTGACGCCGGTCCAATGATATGATGAGAAGGTGTCCCGCTCAATATCAAAGTCATTGTTCACCAACTCCAAAGAGTAAAGATATACAAGTTTGGCGACACATACCCGGAACATCTGGTACGCCATCTGTCGCCCTGGACACTGGCGTGCGCCGATAAGAAACGGCCGCGAGGCTTTGAAATTATCCTTGCAGTTTTGATCGATCCACCGATCCGGGTTGAAGATATCAGGCTTCTCCCAATACTGAGGGGCATGGCCCAGAGTATAATGGTCTACCGACACCGCAACCTGGCCAGGTGCTTGATGTCAGTGAAGTGTCTCCATAGATCCAGTCTAAAGGAAGAAAAAAGTTAGACCCTACCCCCGGTGGGACGTAGATCCCATCAACTGTGGCGCCGCAAGACACCCGTTGTAGTATGCCCCCATTGAAGGCAGGTGTGATACGGAAGGTTTCGCTGATGCAGGCGTTGAGATAGGGCAACCTGGCTAGACAGTCGTCCGATAGCTCATCCACGGCGGCCCCTACAGACAAGACCTCCGCTTCCAGTCTCCTTAAGCATTGTGGGTCCTTCAGCAGAAAATAAAACAAAGCGTTTAGCATGTTGTCTGCTGTCCCGTATATGCTGAATCTACGCCGATATTTTAGTCTAGGGGCGCCATTATTCCCTATCGGCCTGGGACCGATGCTCACCGGAGAACAAAACAATTGATCTGCAATAAGGAATCAGGAACTTGGAGCATGGTCCTCGAAGCTGCTTGCCGGAGCCGACTGTGAAGGTTATCCGGGAACGCAGATTCATCCTTGTCGTAGTTGACTTCGCCTGGATGGACGGGCCGTCGGAAGATGAAGCAGATGGCCTGCCATACTTTTAAAGCAATTGAAATGTAGCGGTGAATGGTAGCTCGCGAGAAGAAGACTAAGAGTGTCTCAAGGAAGCACATGAAGGGGTCCAGCCAGTCAACATGAGGATTGAAGCTTACTATTACTTCGATTAGTGCCGGGAAGCTCGACCCCATTAGTAAATTGTGGAACCTACCTCGCTCCGCTTCGTCGCCGCGGTTTCCAAAGGCCGCCATGCTCGCGAACTGCCACAAGTACCGATTGTTCAACGTGGACAGGGAGACGGGTGCGGCTTCCGTCTGGCCTACATGATGGAATGCTAATTGCTCGGCCATTGCTAGGTGACAATACTCCTCGCCTTTGGCGGCTAGCAGCTCATTCAACGAGGTAGCAACCAGGGGACGTAGCTTTCGGCGATTATCCTTCTCTGTTGAGTTGCCTAACGAATCTGCCATGCCGCCCAGGCTTCCCAACAGGCCTTTCCGACTGCCGTAAAGCGAGAAGTTATTGTCCCCATGGGGTCCATAGATGGTATCGAATGCGCTATTTGTTGCGAATGATAGCTCACTTGGTCCGATGCGAACTACTGGGCCTGAAGGAAAGTCGGGTGAGCTTTCTGGTGATTGGGGAGAGGCGAGGGGTACGGAAACAGATTAAAGCCCACCGTAAGTGTCATGCAGCTCTTTGAAGGTGAACATCAGTCGGCCGGTGAGGACCATTTGTATGCTACAGATCTGGTACAATGAATTAGCTACCTGAGCAAGAGCATGGGGCGATGGCAAAGATAGTTGTCCTACCGGAAAAAATTTGGCCAGCAAAGGACCTGGAATACGCGACAGAGGGTCTAGATGGAGGCGGTATATCAGCCATCCGACAATGACCGCTGCTAGCTGTATATCGAATAGTCTCGGTTAGTTGTGTCCAAGCTACATGAAGATCCAAGAACTATGTGCCGCATGGCACGTACTAGATAGAGGATCAGCATTGTGTACTCTTAGGCTCATCGGCGGAAATGGTAGTTGATGGGAAGTGAATGCTCCCTAGAGCCGTGAAATCATAGCCTTAGGCCTCGGTGTTGCTCAAATACAATACTCGTCGGTCCACCATTTTCCAGTGGCCCCTCTTCAGGTATTGGTCCTCAGGCACTCGCAATTTCATTTTCAATACATTTTTTTGTGGTGACGACCTCGATGCAGTGAGGAGACGGGGGGTGAGGTGACACCAGTTCTGGTCCCAGCTCTGCTGTGAATCCATGTGGTAGTGTCTTTCCATTACTACTATCGGCTGTAGCAAGGGTTGGTCTAGACCATCCATATGTCGAAACAGTAAGCCTCTTTCGCTGGGTGACATGAAAGGGGGGGTTGCCCCTTGCTTTGTTGAGGCAGCCGTGAACAGATCACGAAGCGCGGGATTTGTCTACTTTGTCAGACTGCGAGGGGCCATTAGTATTACCAGTGGACCTCTGAATACCGGTGCGCTGATATCGCAGGTTATATCTATTGGGTTTCAGTTACTGAACAGCTCACATGATTACTCTATGAGGAGGCGGTGCTGCCTATAACATATTTGCCACAAAGGATCTAGTAAATCTAACCAACAGTCTTTATGCACCTCATTGAAGTAGAATACAACTGATCGGAATCTTATAATGAAATCAATAGCTCGAAATCTTGGCCCCTAACCTACGTAAGACAATGATTAATGCATGATTATTACAGAAAACAAATTTTTGGCGTATGCACCCAGCCATCATTCACTTTCGAGGCCCAGAAATTCCGATCAAAGACGGCAAACGAGGATGTTGCCCAAGCACCGGGAAGGCCGAGCGACTCATTTAGCGCGATAAAAAGGTGGTGCAATAGCTGACTGTCTATCCTCACTACTGACGGAAAAGCTGACTCCGGGCGCATCATGGCGCCATTGTTGTCACACACACACACACACACACCCCTCTCATCCGTCCTCGCCAAATGACCGACTGTCATCTCAGAATTCTGCCAGATGGCTACTTCGCATGCCATATGAGGGGAAAAATTTCAGTGTGTATAATATACCATTCCAGCTACTTGGAGACCACCATTGAAGATAGTTCAATGGAGTTATACATGAATGCTGTTCTTACATGGAGACGCTGCAACTTCTTTTCGGGCGGGCAATTATTAGAAAACATATGAGCAACGCATTATATTGTGCGGAGATGGCAATGAAGACCTATCCAATTGTTCAAAGAGCACGGCTAGCATAGGATGGCAGATACATAGGAAACCACGGGGACCGTAGGGACACGGTCAATCCGAGAACGTCATGCGGCAAGGGATGATTGTTAACTCCTTGGTCACGTAAGGATCCAGGGGCTCCCGCCTGATGAGGTGGACCCGATACGACCCTCCGACTCAAGAGGAGCCGGACTGGCTGATTGATTTGCTCGATAATCGTCACTAAATGACAGTTGCAGCGAAGAATGAAGCAGCAGATAAGCCAATGGCTGGATGAAAAGTGTGCACCACGGCATGATTATTCACAATAACTAGACTCGAGGGAGTATTACTCGAATACACTCTCTGGAGACTGGTAGGTCCGACATTATCTACCGCGCGAGGGTCCAGCATCGGCAAGGCTGTGTGGATGCCTGCCGATAACCTATTGCCAAAGATATCTTGCGCAACGAAAACGAAGGTGCAACCGCCAAGGAGCTGAATTAAAGTCAAGTCATCAGGGCCGTGGGGGTGGAGAAATCCGTGGATGATAGGATGGTCTGCACGACGAAAACAGGCAACTGGAAGCACATGCCGATGCTATCCTCAGAACCACCTGGTATACAATCCATTGATATGTCCCGAAAGCTCACTGCAGTGTCGAGAGCAGCCCAGCGCCGATACTAGTCATGGTCGCCCCAAGGAGCATAAAGGGGCCGGGGTTTTCTGTAATCCTCACCAGGACGCCGCAAGTGATAGCCAATATAACGTTGATTACGATGAGCGGCAGGTTCTGAATGCCGGGCTCGGTGGCAGGGACCCCCTGAACCACCTGGGGCAAGGTGGGGAGATCGTAGAAAAAGATGAACATGACACCAATTCGACAGACGCCGTACAGCGCTGAGACCGGGATGTTTCGGACGCGGTGCAGGCGCGGTAGAACAGTGGCTCGTTGGCGGGCCTAGATTTGTAGCCCTACAAAGCAAGTAAGTAGGACCACAAAGAAGAGATAACAGGGTAACTATGCGAGCATTGGGCCAGGGGCGTTGTATACTTCCCCCATTGGGGTCCTAGCAGCAGGCACACCATAGCTGGTAGGAAGATGGCCGTCCCCAAAGGATCAAGACGAACCACGTTTTCCCTTAGGCTTATCGGTGCGACAGGTTTGGTGTTTTGGAAGGTAAAGAAGATAACGACGGGACCCAATAGCCAAATGTAAGATGAATATCGAAAGACCAGCGGCACGAGACGTGGTTTTTGAAGGCCCCGCCCATCCTAAGAACCGGCAAGTCATGAGGTGACCTCGCACTCTCTATCATTTGATCTTGCGACGGGAGGGGGGCATCTGGCCTATAAGCTTACAGAGGTACGATGAGGTTCACCACTGAAAGTACGTTCATTAGTTGCCCTGAGAAGTCTGTCCGTTGGCGAAATGGCCCTCTGTGAATAATGATGATAAGGGAACCTAAGAATGGCCCCCCTCCCCCCAGGCCGGCCATTGCGCGGGACGGGATGAGGCCCGACAAGGACGGGGTGATACCGCAGAAGGAGAAGCGAAGTTCAAACACAAAGAGGTCACTCATATTGATACAATTTATGGGGAAGAAGGTTTTTAGACGGCTGAAAGGGAGTGTCACGGCGAGGGTAGTGAGCAGGTAGGCTCTTGCATACCACCCACATCATCCGGCCAGTGAAACTGCCGGGTGATTTTTGGCAGCGTGGAGGACATGATGGTTTATTCGAGTGATGTAGAAGACGTGGAGAAGAAGAGCCCGATGGTGATCAATACCAGTTTGTACCCATTCGCAAAAACCGCGTCCTCTTCCCGCTCAGGGTGTTCTCGGTGATCTGCTGGTCCGTCTTTGCTCTCACTCACAGTTGGGGATCCCAAGTCCGTCTGGGAGACCTTTTGACAGTTGTCTAACTCCACACTTCCGCCCAGTGACAAAGATGCGGTGGCTCCGCTTGAACTATGTGCAGCGTCTAACACCGGGACAGAAAACCTGTAAGCGTAGCCGGCGGCTAGGTAGCCAGAACGCGGATACTAGTGTCTGAGAAAAGCAGTCAGCTGTCACAGCCAACTGAATCAGCAGGGCTGACTGACATGCCTGCAATGCAAGCCAAAACCAAGACTATCCTATGAGAGCGCAAATATGATCGGTTGTGCATGTTCCACGGGACTGCTTCGTGGGATTGCAAATGTAGAATGTTGTCCTGATGGTTTCACCCAGGGCCGAGAATGTTGGCAGCTGACTCTATCTGGGGCCAGACACGGCTCGGCCAGTTCTAGGCTGTACGCAACGACCGCAAGCCGAGTGTCGTTGATTCAGAGATTCGAGGCGTTGATGTATCGTGTCAGTGTCTAGGCCCTCCGCCTTCACTCGTCCCTTGCCTACCCTTTAAATCTAGCTATGGCTCACCAATGCCATCTTCTTTCGGTTACACTGTCCGTCACTTTCAGAGCGTTTGGAAGGGTTTCTATGTGTCCTCATCGCTCCCGCTCGATACAGACTTGCATGGTTACCGCTCACTGCCCTCGAACAAGCAAGACATAACAGCTGGATTACACTGCGTGATGGATGAACGTCTCTCTTCCCAACTGGAACGCTATGCCAGCCAGGTAGCTTCTAGTGCCGGCCTCATCGCCGAACACCTTAGGTCACTCAAAGACGACCCGTCGATGCTGCCTAACCAGACCACACTACCAACAACAATTGGCGCAGCCAAACTTGAGTTGGAGGAAGCCGCAATTCAGCTGCTGCATCTAACCCGGGACCCAGGTGATGTGCTGACAAATTTAACGGTTGATGTTCGCATACACTTTCCTACTTTGCCCTCCTTTCTTTGAAACTGTGCAAATGTATATGGAGGGCTAGCTAATAATACAGTAAATGTGTTGTTTCATTTTCCAGCTCCAATTCATCTGTGCCGTGCGATGGTTACTCCACTTCAAGATTCACACTTTTGTGCCACAGGATGGCGCGATCTCATACCAAGAGCTGTCTCACATGGCAAAAGTGCCAGAGAAACTCTTGCGCAGCTACCTACGACTCGTCATGACCGGTCACTTGTTCCAAGAGTACGGAACAACGGGAATGGTTGGCCACAGCCCTGTATCGCGCAAGCTAGCCGGTGACCCGACCTTGGACTATTGGGGCCAGTACTTTGTTGAGACCGTTTTCCCAACTGCGGCCAAAAATGTGGATGCGACTGCTACTTGGCCAGATAGCAATAAATTGAATGAAACGGCGCATAATCTTGCCTTCGACCACCATGGCTCCTTCTTCGACTACATATCGCAGGATTCTGCCCGCACGGTTGAATTCGCCAATTCCATGATGGCGGTGTCCACTACCAATCTGTTTGACACTTCGCATTTATGCAAAAGTTTCGACTGGTCATCGCTCGATGACGGGGTCGTAGTCGATGTGAGTCTCTATATCTCAGATTCCCTTCCATGCACTACTTAACAAATACCTCTAGATAGGCGGCTCTACTGGTCATGTCAGTGTAAGCCTAGCAGAGAGCTTTCCGAGCCTACGCTTTGTGGTGCAAGACCGCCCAGAGGTTGTTCTTAACAGCATTCAGCGACTGGAAGAGCGCGAGCTGCCCCTCTCAGTGACTACTCGCATCCGGTTTCAGGGCCATTCCATCTTCCACTTGCAGCCAGTTAAGGGTGCTGCCGTATATCTGCTGCGCCAAATTCTCCATGACTGGCCGGATCAGGAAGCTGTTCAGGTTCTTCGCAACATTTTGCCTGCTCTGGAACCAAAGAGCAGGATCTTCATCGCTGACATAGTTCTGCCAGAAACGGGCTCTATCCCAGCTACTCAGGAACGGGTGATGCGCTGCAATGATCTACTGCTTCACCAATTTACCAACACGCTGGAGAGAACGCTGAAGGATTGGCTGGCCATCGTCCGTCAAGTGAGTGACAGGCTACGAATCCAACACGTGTATAGAGATCCCGGTAGTATCCTGTCCCTTATAGTCTTAAAAACCGTTTGAAAATAGGGCAATAGAGAATAGAATTTTGGTCGAACATTTGATAATGCGGAAGGGGTGGTCACAGGGCATGCTATTCTCCTTAGAAAGAGGCGTCCCAAGGGGAGAAAGTACATTCGTTCTGGACTGATAAGTGTACTGGCTGGTCATTGCCCCTTGCGTCGCACAGCTCAGTGGGGCAATCTACGGATTGCGCGTAACATGGTGTGTCACCACGTTCTAGTTCTATAGAACCTATCATCGCTGTCATCAGCCATCATGTTCCTACCTAGTGTTTGCACCATGGAGACTTTGCTGTATTAAGCGTAAGCTGACTACTGACTGCACGACATAGACCGTAGTATGGCCGGGTATCACCGAACGTGCCGCCAATGATGATGGCTTGCAATTCTCCATATGATGTGGAATGGAGGTTCAGAGTTTCTTATCGCCAGCGTAAGCAGTAGACCGCCATCGATATTCCCGCACACCGGTTCTGGCCCTAGGTAAACATTATCCACCGCCCCTGTCAGGGGCTCAGGACATCTTCGTGGCTTGGTATGGGCAGTTTGATTGTGCATGCGCCAGGTATCCTGCCTATATTTATTGGTGGTGGCTAGGGTCCGATAAGCCTCGCGCTAGATTTGCATGCCCCCATGCACCGCTCTGGGTATCACTGGAAGATGATCGTCAATGGCGTGAGATAAATCAAATTCTGCGGGGGAACGATGGCTAGCCGTGGAACCACAAATGATAAGCAGATGACCTGGGCTTCCCTATATCTAGAGGGTATATCCTAGAACGTTGTTCTTCCACAATTCTGTATTTTGAGCAAAACATCGGAATCCAAGGTCTCCACAGGCATGGCCGCTCCGCAGAATGCCCCCATCCCCGAAGCTGGGAAGAAGGTCCTGAGCACTGTCACTATGGTGTGTCGGTTCCCTGCCTCTTACTCAAGGTTATATTTTCCTTGGTGGTTTTATTCCATGGTCATGCTCACATTCTCCCTCTCCTAGGCCCCTTCTCTGGGGTTCGTGCCCATCGCTGTTCATTTCGACCTCTTCGGCTGCCTGCAAGACATCGGTAAACCAGCCACCGCGGAGGAGGTCTGCAGTTTGCATCACACTAAATATGGTGACACCGACCTGTGTATGTCATCCAATGGTTTCTTTCGTGGAATGTTCGTGTAGCTAACCATGTGAACCAATCCTAATGCAGCGGTGCCTCTGGCCAGTATGTTGTTTCTTGCAGACCTCCCCATGACCGAACAATACTCACAAAGCTTGACTACGCCGCAGATGATACTCTTTTCCTCATGGGAGGGTTGGGGTTCTTAGACCTTCTTCCAGACGATGTGTACCGGGCCAACGACGTCACCCGATTCTTGGTGGAAACGCCCTCTGCCCAGCATGGAGCCATGCATTTGTAGGAATCCCTTGCGACATACCTTAAGCTGTGATGTCGGTAGCTGACAGCAAGGCTCTCTCACTATCCAGCACATCTGAGGGACTTTTGGCATCGGCATTTCTCATGCGGCGCCTGATGGATACCAAGTTTGAGTATCCGTTCCAGGAGTGCGACACTCCGTTCCAGTATGCACACAAACTCATGGGCAATGACTTCCTTGCTCGGGAACATGTGTATTCAGTGATGCATCACACGGGCCGTCTTGATAGCTTTAACACTTTCATGACGGGCAAATTTGGCCGCTGGGGCACCATGCCCGATCGCGTCCGCAAGCTCGGGTATGATCTGGATGGCTTGCTTCAATCAACGGCTTCCAAGAAACTCCAGGTAGTTGACATCGGTGGTGGCCGGGGTGAGCTGCTCTTGGAGATGCAAGCGGCATACCCGCACCTACTAAAGAAGGAAAACCTCATTTTGCAGGAGTACAATGCAGACATTGGTGTGGTTCCTGAGGTCACAGAGATGGCCTGGAATTACAAAGAGGATGGCAGCGAGCAGCCTGTCAAGGGAGCTTTGCTGTATTCCATGGCTCACGTCCTCCACAATTTGTCGGATATTGAGTCCATCAAGCTGTTGGCCAAGGTCGCCAGGGTCATGGCCCCGTCTTCACGTCTGCTCATTCAGGAGTTTACAAAGAATGCAGCTAGTTCGACCACCCATGCCGCGATGATCTTGATGCATGCTGGCCGAGAACGGACCCGCGCGGAGTGGAGGGATCTTGCAGCCTTTGCAGGGTTGCAAATAACTTTCGAGGCCTACCCACCAAATGGCGAGTGTGTTGTCGAGCTGAGAAGAGTACTTAATTGAATGGCCAACACGGCCGGTCTCGAAGCTTAGGCACCAAGTCTAAAGTGTTCGTAAGCTGGTTGCTTACGTAGGTGCCGCAGGATTGGCGCTCAGTGGCCTTGAAGAGAAAGCATTTATGGGCGCTCCCTGTATGTTCTGCCATTGGGCCATTGTTTTACAATATAGAGCCTTTTAATGCGATATTCCTACGCTGTTTCCAGTATTCCCGTGCGGGATGCTTGCTGCAAGATCAAGGTTCTACGAGAAAGGCTGTCTAGTACGTAGTGTCACTGAAAATGCCAATAGAATCACGACTGTCTTTGCGAGCGCCACATTCTGAGACCCAATGACCTTGCGCTATTTTTTAATGTAAATCACTACCCATTCCCCCAACCCCTCTCCACAACTTCGATCTTGCTTCCTCTTGGACTATCTTCCACTGTGGCCACCATTCGGCATTCGAACATACCAAAGAAATTCCTCTCGTTCCACTAGTATCAAACTAAAGCACACTGTCTGGTGATATGTGCCAGAATTGGAGGGCCAATAAGGCAAGAAATCAGCTTATTCAATCCTGCACGAACGGGGAGGTCATTCTGATCCATATCAGCCATGGTATCACTGGGGTATATATGGTAGCATGCACTCACTAATCCTCGATAACCTTGACCTGCTGAATATAAGGGTCCCCACTATTAAAGTTGAGGGTATGAGTGCCGGTGACAAAGACCATCTTGTAATACTCGTCCCCTTCTGAGTCAAAAAACACGTAGGTACTTGCGTATTCGCCTTGTCTTTCGGTGACTTCAAAGTCGAGCTGATACTTATAAATCAGTCCGTCAGCCTGGAACAGGCGGTACCTGGAGATGCCCGTCTCTCGCTGAAAGACGGTATCGGTTGTCTTCCATGTGCTATCACCGACGGGCCAGCCGGCATAATAGGTGCCGGATCTGGCTGCAGAGACTAATTGCAGCAGCCCCAAGAACAAGAGGAGCAGAAAATGCATGATGGGCACTGGTGGTAATATTGAAGAGCTGTTAGGTGAGGAAGGTCTGCAGTCGTGCTGTTGTTATGCGATATCAAAGATATGTGATGATTGAGAGGAAAGATGCCAGCAAGGATACCTTTCCAACTACTATATATAGTCGGGCGGTCGCACGCTTCATTCTCCTGCCAACCAGCGCCATGAACCATGGCGGAGCTCTGAACAAGTGTGCATTGTACACTTTGGGAGCAGCTGAATAGATCTCGGGTCGGCCATGCAATCTCGCACATTGTGATGACCACATTGATTCGATGTTCAGCATCATACTGTGCAAATTTGGGAGCACCGCAAATTTGAGACTCCAACGCAACCGCCTCTTGCGATGCAATGCGCCCATCTCCAAGCCTCGAATACCACTAAACTTGGGAAATCGGGAATTGACATGCAGATCCTTGCATTTGCCTCTCTTCATTCACGAGTCGAAAGCGCGATCGATTCATTTTGAGCTTTAGGCTGGTCATGGGTCGGAACTAATGGCCACACCAGCGATAGATAGTGTGGCTAGTGCTGACGAGCTAGGCCCGGCTACTGTGGCCGGCGTGCGGCTGAACCTGTGCAGATCGGAGCAAGTCCCTACGGCATTCTAGTAACGTAGCTCGACATTCTATTTGTCAGCTACTTTGCTCAGCACCCATTACGTACCTCCGATGCCTGTTGCTTACTAGCGATATGCTTGGGGATCAGCGATCGGCTTGAGCCGACTTTGTGCATGGCAAGCTGCTAGTTCCCAGTGCTTTCGGCGGTTTGGAGCAGTGTGCGCGTCTGAATTCCGGGGCTTATTACACCGGACAAGATGCCGCTATTTACACTACTGGGTGGTATTCACCGGATATTCCGACTGGGACTTCGGTATCCATGGTTCATGTCAAGATTTGGAAACCGATTGGGACCAATTGTAGATCATCCAGTGACCCGCCCATTGTTGAGTCGCTTCTCATATGCAATCTAATTATTCATATGAGCCAACCCCTTCCAGCCCCGGAGCCAGGTATTGGGTAGGGGAGTTGATCGAATGTGTACGATGCGGGCTTCGAACACCGGGGCAAAAGCTCCGGATTCCCACCTTGAGTACAATTCAAGATTTGAGAGGTTTATAGGGATACCTAGAAGGTATGGAAGGACTACTCTTGAGCACCATGATACAGCAGAGTTTTGACCCTGACGATGGAAACGTCAGAATGCGACCGGGGAGCGCAAGAAAGAAGCAGCGTAGCGCTAGCGTAATAAAGTACAACCGCCTTGACAGCCCTACCGAGCTTCCAGACAAAATGATCGGTCAGAAGAGTCCAAGAAAGAAACTGAACCCCCTTCTTCATTGTGAAGCGTGGTTCCGGGGGTAGATGGTGAGAAAGTAAAGAAGGCACACATCTCGGCTTAACTTGGGAGGGGCGAGGGATCGTGCTGTTGCAGGTGTGAAGGTGACAAAACAATAAGCTATTTCCAGCATATGTGCTTAATTGTAAGCTTCATATCTCCTCAACTGTGCTTCTCCAGGCCCCGTATATAGTCCAGAATAAGTTCGGTAACATATGGGTATCGCAACTGAGCAGTTGAAAGCCGGTCTTTGCATTTTCCACGTCTAACCACAGCGACCACGGCCTCCACACTCAGCGAGCGAGGAATTTTACTACACTGAAAGGACTTGGCATCAGTCGATAACGGTTGGGATTTTTTATAGGGCAAACACTAATGTATAGGTACAACGATGTTACGACCACAAATCTAACCATTGATAACTTATCACATGGGGACAGAAGACACGGTTCAAATGCTGTCACAATAGCACCCCATAACTGATACTCAATAGGGGAACTAAGGTCTTGACTGTTTTACAGGTAGAAATGTGACTGGTCCCAAATACGCTGAATTATTAGTCCGCCTTCCTAAGCTAACATCGACCTGGACCATGCCTGTGCACGATTCAGTAGTACTACCTTCGCGCGGTCCTTCCTACGTAGCCTTTGATGTTAATAGAAGATTGATTGTATGACTAGTAGAGGGTATTTCAGTTCTATTCAACACTCGAATAGGAAAATACTGTCTCGGAATCGCTATCTCGTGTCTCAGGAGAGCACTCCAAGTCGGTTGATGGTAGCAGGAAACAGAGCACGGCCCCACAACAGAATTGCGACAATAGAGCCGTTTGTACTACATTCGGTTTACATCATTGGTATTCTCAACCTCTTAGTGCATGATGTTAACTATAGATAAATTAACAATATAAGATGCTTAAACCCGGTACAGCTGGTAAATGGCCTGTTTCTAGGGACTTGGGGGGTCACGTGGATCGTTCAGGGACGCAGACCCACGCACCATCAATGACAGCACAGGGTCTGCAATGCCCGGATAATGCAGATTGCAAGAGAATGCATACGTCTATAGAGTTTGATGTGATCAGGTGCGGGTTATCTCATGTTACAGTTCCCTTCTCCTGTTTCCTGGAAGGCTTATGGGCTATCTCTCAATCTCTGATATGTTATATGGTTCTAGAACTTTTTCTCACCCGACTTGCCTACTTTGGTTACCGTGCCCCACTCTTTCGGATCTCCAGAGGTTGGAGACACAAACTAGATATCTACCTTAGGGACATGGAGTTTCTGCGTGCGATGGGTAGAAAAGGGTGGTCAACGCTTATTTCAGGCCTACTTATGCCGCCTTTCGAATGACCGTTCAGCCATCCCAAGGTCGCCTGCCTCCTATAACCAAGTTGGTCACCCATCACCCATCACTCCGCTCATGTCCGCATCAGCAGACGCCACCCCGGCATCCAATGTTCTTGGCACTATCGGCACCGTTTTCTGGTGTATCCAGCTTGTCCCCCAGATATGGTATAACTGGCGACGGAAGAAAACAGAAGGGCTGCCTCCCGCAATGGGGTTCTTGTGGGCTATTTGTACGGGTCAATTCCCCCCTCCCCCGTGCTGATTATTCATATATACATATCAGTGTAGTAGTAATATCTGCCATTAGGAGCGTTAAATACGGGACTGCCACATTTAGTAATACTGACTGGATCTCTGTCAGGTGCTGTGCCCATGGGCGTGTATCTGATCCTACAGGTAAATAGTATCCCTCAATTTGCCGTTCAGGTACAGGTAATGCCTAGAAAGAAGATGCTCACAATCATGACCGCCAGGAAGTCAATCTCCCGATGCAAATCCAGCCTCAGATTTTCGGGACTTTTTCGGCCATTATCTGGGCCCAGATTCTACATTATGACCAGTGAGACCTAATCATGCTTGGACACTAAGACTCAAAGTATCTGAGCTTAAGCGGTATTTATGTTTGTATGTTGACATGAAGAACAGCAGTTACACCTCCCAAAAAGCCACATTCGCGTGTGTTGGCCTCCTAGCGATCATGGGTGGGGTCGAAGCCCTACTCATTTTGACACTAAGGGCATGATGGCTGGTCTACCTACTCATGGAAATATTGCATAACTAATTCGATCGTGGTCGCAGATCCCATACAATAAGGGCATCACCTGGCCGGATATCCTGGTGGGTGCGATAGCCACGGTACTTCTCGCTGGCGGCATGCTACCAATATACTTTGAATTGGGGAAAAGGCAAGGACGGGTGATCGGAATAAGTACGTGACACTCATGTTCCCCGGGGGCAAAGTCACGAATTCTCATCGACATAGATTGGGTCTTCTTATGCATCGACACGCTGGGAGGGCTGTTTTCAATTTTCGCCCTTGGTATGGTTGCTACACCTTACACTATGCGACATGCTAACGGAGTCCAACAGTGGCACAAGGGTCATTCGATATCCTTGGCGGGGTTATGTATATCGTCGTGTGAGCCCATTACTTGCCTCGCGGTATATGCTCAGAGTATCTGACCAGTGACCAGTGTGGTACTCGAGCTGGGAATTTACCTCAGCCACATCATTTGGCGCATTCGGTTCCGTGAGGCCCGAAAGGAAGCCAGGCTTTCGGGAAGAAATGTGGAGGACGTTCTCCGAATGTCTGGCCCGGTGTAGTAGGCGACCCTGAAGAATAAGCATACGTCGCTCCGGTGCCAGCCTCATGAACTGGATCCACGTGAGGTCACTTTCTGGCAAAGCCCAGAACCGCTTCAAGAAGGACAAGACATTGCGTCGGTCCAATGTGCCGCTAACCTCCATAACCAGTTCAATCTCGTGTGCGACCACTTCCTGTTTCTGCGGGCACCCACGGCACTCGGTGCCTGCAATGAAAAGCGGCCACACAAGGTCATGAGCGAATGAGTGCTTGTCAACGAGAAGGGCGAGATGGATAAGGATGGAATCTCTCCAAGACTGGCATATGTTATCTGGAGAACCGTTCCTGGTGAGGACGTGGTGGACATAAATTAGGCCGGAGTAGTAAAAGATCCACACCAGGTGCTGGAAACTGAGACAGGCCTGGTCGGTTTGCCAGCAAAGTATAAGGCTGAACTCCAGCATGCGGGCCTTGGCGGCTTCCAAATCTCCTATCATCGTGTCAAGCAATGAAAAAACCATCCCATAGTCATCACTAGATTGCAAGCGCTCCACATGTGTCGTTCGACTGATTATGTCGACAAAGTCGCTAAATATAGCATTCGAATCAGTCAGCGGAATTGCCTCGTACTCCCCAAGGGCATCGAAAGTGGTGAGGCTAGCAAAAACACTGGCGTAGTACTGCTCGTGGACTAAAAAGGCATCGATTTCGTCGGTGCCTCCGGCGTCCATCAGTGTGTGTTCTTTCCATCGGCGGATCACACGTGCGGCCTCCAAGTGCATCCGCCACTTAGCCGATGCAGCGCCGAGGAGTTCGACGTTATAGAGGATGAGCGTGGCGGCCAGTGCGCACTGGGCCTGATTGGAGGAAGAGCCTTCCTGCCTCATGTGGCGAAGAAGCTGAGCCACCGAAGCCAAGGCCTAATCCCGGCGGCATACAGAGACGACCTGCAGCTGCTGGCGACGCGGATGGTCGTTCGGGTAACGCGCAGCAAGATCTTCCGACGAAAGTGCAAGCATGGCATGAAGGACAGTCGACGATGCCCCCGCCAGCGGAATGATGACCTGTCTCCAGGGGTTTGTCGGGCCATCCACCCAAGCCAGCTTGGGCAGACACAATCTGATGGTAGTGATACATGAGTTCGGAAGTTACAGCATCAGGGTAGTGGGCAATAGTCGGGGAGCATGGTAGAGGTAGCTGCCTGCCCGCCAGTCTACCTCTGCTAGCCACTTCTTGGCCCCATCGGAGGATGAGACCGTATCCCGGACATGGAAATCCTCGTGTGGTGCATTTCCGGCATGCTGGGACCGATCTGTCGCATTTGATGCGACGGGTACGGCACTTGGGACAGTCTTGGTTCTGGTTAATAACCCTGAAGGATTGGCCGAGAGGAAAAGGAGGGTATGTTGGGGTATGCATACGCACCTTTATCTGGAGATATGCTCGCCCACGTCGAGGCGTGGACATTGGAGGCGCCAATGACGTTGCAGTTGATAAAGGCCTTCCTTTGATCCAGGAGTGATTGCCAAGGCTGATGCCCAACTGGACTCTCTTGAACAGTGGGTACTAACAAGTGCATAAACCTATTACTAATATTCATCTGCATAACTAGCATAGTTCCCGCCCCGACCAGGCCACCCATGATTGACTGTTGATATTTTCCTTCAGTATGACTAGTCCCCATTGGTAACAGTAAGAAGAAGGGGAAGTCCTCCCTAGATGTTTGTAGCATGGATATCCAGGAATGTAATTCGATGAGAACTTGATTGAAATTTAAAAAGAAGAAATAGAGACAGAGAAAACGAGTTTAGAATGTAGTATAGTGTAGGTTTTCTTCGTTTATATATGTGTCCCGCACATGATATATGTACGCAAATGACTTCTAATTAGTACTTAGTATCAGAAAATAGAAACAGTGCTTAGAGTTCTAATAGTATACAGAAGAGGATTACATTATCAAACTGAAAAGATCCGTGAACAATGTCTGCTAATCAAGACTAGAAGTAAAGTGGGATCTTTGGTTTCGCTACACGAAATTTCCACTAGTATGTACATGCCTGCCACGTGGTCACTCGACTAGAATAAATCTCAGTATAGAACAGTCCAGTACTCAGACGTTGATGTAATATTTGTATCTTTACATTGTTTTCTACATGTGAGCGAAGCGGGCGCAGACTACGGAAAACTTACATCGCCAAATCAGTTATGTTGCGTTGGCTTCCTAAGAACATCCCATATTTCAGCACAGTAAGGAAGATATCCTTACGAGTACATTGTTGGTGAGGAGTGTCAGAGTATGACCGAAATCGTTGATGAAGATGCTGCTAGGACTGGGTACTTGATAATAAACTATACACTCTGGCCCTAAGACTTTTAAAAGTTCGCCCGCATCTTGAAACAAACATTGCAGAAAATTGAAACATGTAAATGACCTGCACAATCTATCCTTTGCGGTTTAGGGCCACACTCCCTTTCATTCGGGGTCTCTGTCTGTTGGCTCTCTCTCTTGCCACAAAAGGGCATTTCCATCTAACAGGCTCCGTAGATCTTTTCCAACTTGATCTGGTTCCACTCATACGCCGTCATATGGGGATACTTGGCCGGATTGGTCTCGGACACAAACTGCCCGAAGGGGTAGATGGAGTTATCGCGAGCCACTTTGGCAAAGTACGTAACGGACATGCGTTCCTTCAGCTGTCCTTCCTCTCGCTCCCGCGCGGAGATGGGCAGCGTCACTCGATGGCTGACCGACGTGAGGTAATCATTGGTTAGCCGCTGCAGGCTATCCCCAATATTGACGAGCATGACATGCTTGTTTTCGCACTCCACGGGGAAGTAGGTGCCCAAGTTGGACTGGTCCTCAACTTCCAGTCCTCCGACGGAGTCCTGGAAGAGCAGGGTGACTGTCCCAAAGTCCGTATGCTCAGATATGCGGCTCATGTGGCCGGATCGCAGATCACGGATATCAACTGCGGGATAATAATTCAAGCGCATTTCGCTGACATTGGGCATACAGTGCTTTCTAACCTCGAATGGCTGGTCTTTGGTGCTCAGGGCCATCTCCAGCGCCTTCAGAATGTTCAAATGAGCCACGTGAAGAAGCTCGTAGAAGATCTCGAAGAAAGAGCGGAAGCCTGGTGCCTCACTCTCATCCGGCCATATGTTGTCGTACATAGGGTCTTCGGGATTTCCGATGTCAAACGACTCCTTTTACCGAATCGGCGGGTCAGCAAACCAAGACGGATGAAAATTGTGGATGAAGATCTATACTACCTACCTTCACATCAAAGACCTCCTTGTGCTCCTTACAAACCCCTTTCTCAAAATCTTTGATCGCCGAGCTCTTCTCTTGACCGAGGCTCACCCATCCGCGGTTGGGGTTAGCACAGGGTGGATGAGGATACTTCTTCTTGATGTCTTGGGGCAGTTCGAAAAAGGAACGGTTCTTTTTTGCTCACGGTTCTATCAGTCCACCTCCTCTAGTGACTAACCCAAAGTAATCAAAGGACTTTCTTACCCATTCGAATGCCTTGTCGATGGCAGCATTAGGGACGCCGTGATTGATCAGCTTAACAAACCCCTGGCTCGCAAAGCATTGCAATAAGTCGCGAGAAAACTGGGCTCGTTCTTCCTCACTCCCGAGGAAGAACTTTGCCATGTCCAGCGTAACAACAGTTCCAGCAGCCATGATTTAGGTGGGTTATGGGTTGATGTTGAAGGTCTCGGAGAAATCGTGGGAAGTTGAGTTGGACATGTCCTCGAAGACTGGAATTTGGTCCACAACACGGGCATTTTAAGCATCGACTGTGTAGCGCAACAAACACATTGACTATGGGAGGTGAACTGACATCCTAGATCTCCACACACACAGCGTCGTAGGGTGCGTGGCTTTCGTAGTGGAACTGCATACCGCGGAAGCTTCCGACAGTCATCCTCTGGCTGAAGATGCGTTGTTTTTCTCGCTGGAATGTAAGAAGTCAGGATAGACATTTGGCTTTCCATTCCTGGTGTTTTGAACGCGCAACACTGACTTCGCCAGGGCTGATTGATCTTGCTTAATACCCTAGGGCTGATCAAAGCACCTCCTGACCAGAAACACATGTCAAAGCACAGCCACCTCCTCCCCCCATAAGCTGGGAGGTACCAAATGATCAGCAAAGCATTAGCATTACTTCAGCTAGCCGCAAAATGCTCGGGGGCGGCATATAGCCGACAGTACGTTGTACGACGATCTTGGTATGAATCTGCACCTCTCGGAGGCCTCCGAGAGGTGCTGCCGCTATAATATCGATGTCCGGTAGCTTGCGTGATGTCGTCTGCATATTCATTTGCCAACTTACTTCTTAATTCTGATCACAGCATATGGCAGTACAGTTTCACCATAACTAGCTAGTTCTCCCCTACATCCTACACCTGTTCGCACAATTATACCGATGGGAGCCAGTATCTTGCCCAGCGTCCCTGCGTGTGCAGGCATCGCCCTGGTGGCCTTGTTCCTGTACCATTTCATTATCTACCCTAGATTTCTTTCTCCACTGGCGAAGATCCCTAACGCTCACCCATTGGCTCCTTACACGTCCCTGTGGATCTTGTGGGCGAGGTATCGGATTCGTGAAAATAACACGGTTCTCCAAGCACATCAGCAGCATGGCGAGGCCGTCCGTTTGGCGCCGAACGAGGTCAGCATTAATTGTGTGAACGATGGCATCAAGACAGTGTACGGGAAGGGTTTCGAGAAGCCGCCATTCTATACCGTCTTCGTGAACTATGGGTACGTTGACTTGCTGTCCTAGTATCGTCGCGCTGCTAACTTATTTTTCTCCGCAGAGCGCTGAATATGTTCTCCTCCTTACACTCACCTGAACATGCGATGCGGAAGAAGCGTATCTCGAACATCTATTCCAAATCGTTTTTACAAGCCTCACCTGACGCGTCGGCCATAATCCAGGAGGTAGTGCAACGTCGCCTTCTCCCGCAGTTCGCCAACCATGCCAACGCCAAGAAGCCAATGGATATTTATCCCATTTACAAAGCAACCGCCATGGATCTGACTACTTCATACTTCTTCGGTCTGTCGGCCGGCACCCAGTTTGTAACTGACCTGACAGCTGCCGCCCGTTGGCAAAACCTGTATTTGGACGACCAACACCCGGTGTCGCTATTCTGGCTGCAGGAGTTGCCCGGTCTCACTGCATGGCTGGAGAAACTTGGAATCTCCCCTGTTCCCCGGGCACGACATCTTGCACATGATCAGATCGCTGCTTGGTGTCTCAGCATGAGTGATGGCGCAGAAATCATGCTAGCCAAAAAGGCAGGCGGGTCCACCTTGGAGCCGGGCCACCTTCCGGTAGTATACGAGAGACTCCGTCAGAGCACCGAGAAAGAGGGCGTGTCTACCACACCCAGTATCACCCAGAATCCCGTAATCGGCGACGATGTCTCTGCTGCCGGCATGAACGGAAATGCAGCACAGACTCTCCGGACACCGCGGTCCCCGCAACAATTGCAGGTTACCAGCGAGTTGCTAGATCAACTTATTGCTAACAATGGCACCGTGGCGACGACGCTGCTGTATGTGACGTGGCAGCTGTCGCAGAATTCGGTGGCATTGGCGCGTCTTCAGGATGAGTTGCGCAGCAAGCTGGGTCCCGAAGCCTTTGCATGGTCAGCCTCGAATGCGGGGGATGACACGCTGCCCAAGGCAAAGGATGTGGACGAGCTGCCTTACTTGAATGCAGTCATTATGGAGACCCTGCGACTGCACGCCCCGGTGGCCGGCAGTCAGCCACGTATTACGCCGGCGAATAACCAAACCACGCTGGGTCCCTATGAAAACATACCCGGAGGAGTACGCGTAAGTGCGGCTGCGTGGAGCCTGCACCGCAATCCCGCAGTATTCCCGCGCCCAGATGAATGGCATCCAGAGCGTTGGCTGTCAGGAACGCTGGAGGGCGCTGATAAGAAGGAGCGCTGGTTCTGGGCATTCTCCAGCGGGTCGCGCATGTGTATTGGGAGTAATTTGGCATTGTACTGTAAGTGTTATCCCTGCCTTTACCGCTGTTCCCTTGGCTAACTCTTCTGCTTTAGTGTTAAAATATGTGGTGGCAGCTATCTACGCCAACTTCCGCACACATATTGTGAATGACGAGGGAATTGAGCAGGAGGACGGCTTCATTTCGGGACCAAGGGGCAATCAGCTAACGGTTGCCTTTGAGAGCGTATAATACAACTGAGCAATGTGACCCTGGACTGTTTATTAGAATATGAAGCCTCAATCTGTTCCGATCCAGTATAATTTCAAGGCGTAGGAAGAAAAGTATGTGTGTATTCAATCTACCTGATCTCAAAAAGGATCGTTTCGTGGTTGGAAGAGGTGGTGGTCGGGGACCACGCAGGAAGAAGAGGCGAAGGATCAGCCAACCGTAGCTGGACTGAATACCTCAAAATAGGATGTCTGTCTAGAGTTGATGACGGTACCTATGAATTGCATAAATTAGGCCCATTGAAGCCATAGCGACATATCCCAAAGAAGTGCACAAGGAAACCATTTACTCAGAATTGACCCAAGCGCTCAACGAATCCGACCAGATCTCCAATTTGCCAATTCTACCCTGTGCATCGAACCTCCCAAACAAGAATACAAATGTCTCCACCCACTTCTTCCCAGTTGCGGTGCTTCCCACTGTGGAGGTCAGTTTGACCATGACAGCATCGTCACTTCCATTCGATGCTGAGACCAAGAACTGATCGGGCGGCGACGTCGGCTCTCGGTTGTCTGGCTCGAAGAACAGCGTCTCCCCAAGAACGTCGAAGTAGGCATCACAGGTGGTGTCTTCCTCAGACGACGGTGTAGATGAAGATCGTCTTCCAGTCCAGGACCTTCCCAGGTAGGGAAGTCGGGAACGCGCCCAGTCGGGGCCGTACTCGTAGATTTCAGGATTGCTAGTGAAGCGCGTGTCGAGGATGGTGGTAGGATGAGTACCATTAGCGAAGTCGGCGCAGAATGCTTCAACAACTGTGCGGATGTTCATGGCTGTGACTATGCTCTTTACAGAAAGTCCACTATTCGGTACTGAGATTGGAATATGAGATAGGAATGTAGAACGAAAATTGAGGGTAGCTAGTGTCCGGAGCTTTTTCTAAACGAGATTCAAAATTTATGGGAAGTGGGCGATAGTATTTATATCTATCTACCTCTATACTACTGCCGGAGACCCCCTCCGAACTATGCATGAGCGGCAGCCATTCACCTAGCTGCGCTCAAACCCCACCAATGGTTTCACACTCTTGATCAAGATGGGTTTGGCCATGAGCTCCTCAGCGCGAAAGGTAGCATGCATGGCTTGGAAGTCGGGTAGTTCAGCATGGAGATCATATGCCTCTTTGTTCACGTATCTAGTAATGTTAGCATGGGTGCGACCGGGTCACTCAATGTGAAGAGATGGAGAGAGTCCTACTTCTCGACCAAAACCAGCTCCTCTTGGCCGGTCTCCCGGTCAAAGTCCTTGTACAAGTGGAAGCTCAAAACCCCGGGTTCATTCTTCTTGACACATGCGGTGAGTTTGGTGAGGAGCTCAGCGACCTACGTTCAAGATTAAGTCAGTAAATCGGCAAGACATAGGGTACCGGACCAAATGCCGGCAGACACCGTGAGGAGTAACGCACTCGGTCCAACTTGCCCGGCTTAGGGGTAAGGACGGCGACAATGTCGCATTCTTCGCCACACTGAGTGTTGGTCATGGTGGTGGTAGATTTGCAAGGGATGGATAGATGGAAATTGTTTGTTTGGGAGGGAATTGTGTTGAGATGATGCTTTCCACATTTCAGACAATACTTTATAAGTGTTGATAGTTCGGTACCTCCGACTACGGAAAAGACCGAACTCCTTTCTCTGACTCCCTTGCAGTGGTTGATGAGAGGGTCAGCACTGTGTTCAAATTCGGCCCCACTCCGAGCCCTGCAGATACTAAGCAATTCAGTGTGGGGGGATGATCTTCGCCATCTGTGTCAGACCGAGATGTGCAGCACGGACACAGCATTCTTCACCGTGTCTCTTAGTCAGGGCAATCCCTTGCGGAGCGTGGTATGTTGAAAGCTGCACAAGTAGTATTCTTTAGTAACAGAAATTATAGCAAGTGGCAGTAGTACGTAAACTTTTGTTTTAATATATCATAATATTATGGTTTTTTGTATCTGCCGGGATTCGCGTCTATGCTTTCCCGTCCTCCCGCCCCGGTTGCCATCCGTGTTGTAAGCAGTAGGTACCCTAGAAAGAACATCCCTTGGGAGATGTATAATGTACGTCATTACAATATACATCATTATACGAATAGATTATACAAAAACTCAACTTGATGATGATAATATCATTGACTGTATACGTAACTACCCTACTTCATGACGGCACTTAAGAGTCGGGTGGAAAGGGCCTAAGGAGCAAACGTACAAGGTAAGTAATTATATATGGGAATTTTTGCGAATGAGCTGGAAGGCAGACGTTCTATCTCTAAAAGCGCACCAAAGGAGAGACCGCAACATACTTCACCTCAGCTTATATTCAGTTCTTTGTTGAACGTAGTACTGTTATATTCCGAGGTATTTCGACTTGAGTTCCGAGGCAGTAATTTAGTGTCTGGAGTATATAATATAAAGTGTGACAGAGTATTTCATGACATTAGCCGTTATGCTTATGTTCAAAAGAAAAATTACAAGCTTGGAGAAATATCTCTTGAGTGGTTGGTAAGGTTATTGTTCTCCTAAACTTCTTGAGTTTTCTAAGCTCTAATATACGAAGCATTGGACCTACCTGGCGGATACTGCTACAGGCTCCGAACATCTTGCCCGTGTATATATCACCGACTGCATAATGAACCAGGATAACTGTGGAAAGCAAGCCAACTGCCTGCAATGACCCAAGGAAGTAAGAATTATAGGTGATGTACAGTTTGAGTTAGACAATAAATAATGGATTCCAGGCTAGTATGAAACAGTTAAGCAGTTAGCTTAATAAAAACCATAGAAACATTTGCTGTCAGAATATAGCTGAAGTAGATATATATAATTCTGAGAGCGCATAATTATAAAAATACCACACTTATCAATGCATACTTTGGATGATAGTCCCATTCGATTGTATGTTTGTTTTGTTATAATATATATGTTGCTATATCACAGATACTTTCTTGTTGTTGGGTTTCTTAAATACTCATCTAATGAAGACACAACCACCTGGAGAATAGGGTTCTAATTTTCAGATTCCTATACGCACCGTACAAAAATGTATGCCAAGGTGTACCAAAGTTTGATAAAACCTTCCTAAGAGTGCGAGGTAGACAATATCTATATAAATACTCTAAGAGGAGGGTTTTCTTTCTTCCAAAACAAGACCTTTCCGTCAGGATCTAATACATAGAATGAATGTGCTCAGGGTGAAGTTATGATCGGCATATGCAAGTCAATCACAGCTGATAATGACAATGGACGAGGGCTGTCAAAGTTATTGCAGGTCATTCCCACCCCGTCCATTTACTCCAATGTCTGTCTCCTGCTTCGGCATCAACTCCGTGTCTCCTGAGCCTCCCGAGCCTGCCGAGCCTGCCGAGTCCCCCTCCTTCTCATCCACAGTCACTTCACTCTTGGCGGGCTTGATCTTCACAAATAGCACCATGATTATGAGTCCCAACCCGGCCAGCCCCACCGCCATCCAGAGTGCGGCCTGGTATCTCGCGCGCAAGTCTCCATGGACCTGCGCTGAGGTAAAATCACCCCACCCCAGCCAGAAACTGATGCCCAGGAATAGAACGCTGTTGGCGACGGCGGCGGCCAGCCCTTGTTGTCGCTCGGGAAGGGAGGTGGTCACAAAGATGTTGGTGACATTGTAGGTGACATCCATGCCCAAGGTGCCGCAGATCATGGCCGGGAACACATAAGGCCAGTAGCTAGCCCCGAGCGGCATGATGGCAAACAGCAGTGGTGCCATTAGCCATCCAATCCCGGAGATTACCAGAAGAACCGTACCCGGAAGAACATGCAGGAATAAGCCCCCAATCAAACTGAAGAAGATGCCACCCAGTGCGAAAGGTACAAAGTACGCCACCACGAGCAGCGGCGAGGCATGCATGATGTTCTCCATGTACTCCACACAGTACAGCAGCCAGATGCCAAACACGCCATAGAAACAGAACAGGCCGAGGAGGAGGGACGATAACTGGGGGATGCGGAAGAGACTAAGAGGAAGCAGCGGCTCCTTGGCCACCCAACCTTCGACGTACAGTGCAGCCAGCAGCAGGAAAAAGCCCACAATCAACGTGACATACACATAGGGAGTGCGCCAGCCGTCGGGTGCATGACCGCAATCGTTGATAGCAAAAAATATCAACACAAGACTGCAAAAGAAAAGACCGGCGCCAGCCCAATCGATGGACATGTCAGGATGCGGAGGCTTGCGGCGGATGCTGGCTGGGACAGAGAGCACAGCTGCAATCAGGGCAAGGAAGAGCAGCATTGTCCCGATCCAGAAGTACCAGCGCCAGTCAAGAAATTGCCCGGTCATGCCGGACACGAAAATCCCAGCAACAAAGCCGATGGGAGCGCAGGCGCCGTAGATGCTGAATACCAAGTTTTTCCGCCATCCCGGGCGGTAGGTAGTGCCCAAGAGCATGATCCCTGCCGAGAGAAAGGCAGCAGGGCCAAAGCCCTGTAGCGCTCGACAGAAATACATCATAAGGGCGTTCTTCGCGAAACCGGCCACAAGCGACCAGACCAGATGCCAGGCCAAGCCTCCCGCGAAGACTACAAACCCTCCATAGCGATCGGCCAGACGGCCGAAGAAGAGCAACGAGCCACCCGCCGTCAGGGCAAAAGCACTGGACGGCCAGCTAGATGAGGCTTCCGGAATGTCCAGTCCCTCGGCCAAAGAGGGCAACAGAACATTGAAACCGGAGATAAAGTATTCCTGATGAAGGTTAGCCCAGAGGTCCGCTCAAGACGGCTGTCTACACCGACTAGACAGGGGATATTGTAATGAGCTTACTGCCATAATTTGCGAGAGCACGAGGGAGAAGCAAAACCCAAGCTCCGATAGCAAATTGGGGAAGATGGTCGGCCTCATGCGACCAAGTCGCTCCAACTCGGCTTCCGAGTATATGTCGCCCATCCTAGCTAGGTGGTACGGGGGGTAACCCGTGAAAACGTAACAATAAGGAAAAGGCCGGGTTGTACAGCCACCGTGACCAAAGAGACTGACTTCGGGAGACTAGTTGCGAAGCATCGAAGAAGTCCAAAGAACCAAAGCAAACCGGAGATGGAGGAAGGATGGAGAAAGAGCAAGAGGTGGAAGGAGGAGAGCGCATTCACGAGGGCCAGCAAGCAAGGGAGGGTACCGGGAGTCGATTTGTAAACGGGACCCTCCTAGTGTCTCCGAAAGGTGCAGGAGGCAGATGCACACCCCGGGGGCCTCCGACCATTAATTGGTCGGTGGGCGATCTATGACGGCCCCGTGCATGCAAGGGCGTCATCGGGCGGGCCGAGTATGGAGGCCCTCGAGGCTGGAGACGCATTCGGAGAGGGCGAGGTATGTCGCTATAAATCAATTGGCCAAACCACCCAAACCCTACGCGTCCCTCCATCCCCACCTGTTCTCCAATTACAACCCTACACATTGTTGCTGTCACCCACCAAAATACCTTGGTCTCAATAATGCGTTACTCTCTGTGGTGCTCCATTTTTGGGAGTCTTGTTGGAGGCGCCTCCGCCACCCAAGCATCTCCAGCTCACGTGCAGGAGCTCAAGGAACGTTGGGGTGAAGATGTAAGTTGAAGGCCATTGAGGCACAAATCTAAGCAAAATTGTGATCGACGGAGATGAGCTTAATTTTGTTTATTAATCAAGCTTTTGTTTAGTGGGCATTTTCAGGCATTACTACTTTTGGCCACTTGGAGCATGTCCATTGTCTCACCAATCCCGACACGCCATTTGACATTGGGATTATTGGCACGCCATTCGACACGGCCGTGAGCTATCGACCTGGTAAATTCTGCCCTTGTTGTAGGATTCACTATTATTGATGAACACCGTCTGATATTATTTTTCCCCCCACACTAATAGGTGCGCGTATGGGCCCGCGTGCCATTCGCACCGCCTCTGCTCGCCATATCCCATCGCGCGCCTTTCATGCCGCAGCCCAAATCAATCCATATCAGTCATGGGCACGCGTGCTAGACTGCGGTGATATCCCCGTCACTCCCTTCGACAACGCCGTCGCCGTCCATCAAATGACCGAGGCCTACCGGGAGCTGGGCTCCCGGAGGACAACCACCGGGACGGGCAAGCCCAAGCTCATCACCCTCGGTGGAGATCATCTCGTGGCGCTTCCCGCCCTCCGAGCTCTTCGCGAACAGTACGGCGAGCCCGTGGCTCTCTTGCATTTCGATTCCCACCTTGACTCGCTGCATCCCGATCGGTACCCCTCAGCTTGGACTTCCATGCAATCTCAGTTTAACCACGGCTCTGTCTTCTGGAATGCCATGAAGGAGGGCCTAATCTCGAACTCCTCATCTCTACATGCCGGAATCAACACCCGTTTGAGTGGGAATTCCTTCCAGGACCTAGAAGACGACGACAAGCAGGGTTTCCTGCGCATTGCCGCCGACGAGGTTGACACGATTGGCGCCGCCGGCATCGTCGATCGCATTCATCAGCATATCCCGAAGGATCAGCCAGTCTACATGAGCATTGACATCGATGTATTGGATCCCGCGTTTGCCCCGGGTAGGTTTACCTTATCTGGCCCCTTCTCCTTCTCTCCTGAGTATGCCAGGCCGTTGATGGTTAATTTGCGCGATATTGATAGGAACGGGAGCTCCTGAGCCGGGTGGTTGGACCACGCGCGAGATGATCAAAATCTTGCGGGGTGTCATGGATCTCAACATTGTCGGAGCTGATATCGTCGAGGTGGCCCCGGCCTACGACACTCCAGGGGGTGAAACCGCATATTTGGTACGTTCCTTTCCCACTGAAAGCAGCAGTCATTCTGTCATGACCCCAGGCATGAACCTCCGTTATTAACTGACTGTATCACCTTGCAGGCGGCAAATTTGGCGTACGAACTGGTCACTGGCATGGTGGCCCGAGAACAGAAGTCCCAGGCGCCGGCGGGCGGGCAACAAGTGCCGGTAGGGATGATGCAAGAGCCGAACGAATATGAGGTGTGCTACCGCCTCAATCCCGGCGCTGAAAACGTCCTCAATGGGCTGTTGAAGCAAATCAGCTAGCCAGTTCATCATATGAGCCCGGTGTGAAGGGTTCCATCCTGTCGCCCTGCTGAGATCCGGAACGGGCCCGCGTCGCATCACAACCATGTTTACAGGGCACCTTCAGCCGACATCAGGTCCATCTATACAGCCTTTCCAAAAGCCATTGTTGCAACAACCGATGTCTCCTTGTCTTGCCATGGGTTTCAGTACAACGCATATTACTGGCGTATATGGTCAGCATGGTACGCAATAATTACGATTTTCGTTTCTCAGTTCGTCTATATAGATATGATGTAATAGACAAGGTGAACAATCATGCCTTATAGCCCTTTATTCCACATATCCGGGTTCAGGAATTGCGAAAATTACTGGATCTTCAACATTTCCGATAGAACTTAGGTACACCAATCACCGTGTCAGTCCCGGTAGCCGCAATGTATCATGTGGGGAGGACGCCACTAAACATGAGTCTATCTCATCCAGGTTGGAATCGATAGACTCAGGATAGCTCACAACGCCAACGAATGAGAAAGGGTCGCCACCAGCCTGACCCATGACTTCGGGACATAACGGAGCACCTGTCACAGACAGAATGGTGTCGAGGGATAGATTCATGACTGACTGGTCCTGGTCCCTCTGCTCTTGTCCGACACAGGACAACGGTAGTGAAGAAGCCCAATGTTGTCCAGAGTCCAATCGGGGTGACTTCCCAGCACCGTTCCAGAACACATTTTCACCTGAGAGCTGATCCCTGTGATACCCAATCAGATCGGACGGGGGCAAAACGAGTTTTATTAGTGCGATACTAAGGCGAAGGCTGTGACTGGATTCCCAGCAGGAGATGGTGTCGTAGAGAAACCTGATCCAGTCCCTGCGGTCCGGCGCATCTTGTGCCGCCAGCAGGATGTGCTTGGTGATGATAAAGAAAGGAAATAGACTATAACTTCCCTTCGGCCTAAACATGTCACTAAACTAGCAAAGATATGAAGGAGAACAGGGTGATTCTTACCAACTGCGCCGAGCATCGGAGAATAGTGTTCTGCCCGCGGGCGAGGGAGGGCACAGTTGGGACAGGGCATTTCGCGAGCTGGCCAGGACTTCATTGGGCGCATCGGGAAACATGCTGTGGGCGAGAACGACGGCACGTGTTGTGTAGTATTCATATAATAGCGCCCGCTGGGTCATAGTGTCCCATGCCCCCGGGACGATGTTACCAGAAAATTCGGACGAGGAAAAATGGGTTTCTTTCCAGCATTCTAATCGGTCTACCACGTCAGTAATGGCTTCCTGACGAGTCCGATTATTGTGGGTGTTCCCCGAGGCTAACAGGATCTGATACGCGCGTTCTTGAATTAGCGCCAGGCCAATCCTCGCCGATAGCCCTTCCACAGGGACACTGTGGAGCGACATATCTGGGGTTGGGGTGCTGCAATCAAAGCTCGGAAGCATGTAAGCCCGGCCAAGATTAAAAGCGATGGCTTTGTCCAGAATGAAGGTGGTCCAGAAAAGCAATCTCCGTTCCTCGGCTTCTTCAACATGCTCATCGCTTGACTGGCGCTCTCGGTGCAAACCCATTCTTTGCGCCATGGCACAACATCCATGAAAGGCTTCATCGGCCAGTAGAAGGTCTTCTGCCTGTAAAGCGATGATTGCCTGTCCGCTCCAGTTAGTTTGTTACAAACTTCCACGACCAGCCCCGATGACGTGTGGTTCAGGCTTCAGGCTACGTTCCCCCGACGGAAGTCACTCACAATGCATGCCAAAGCTTGAACATTGACGAGCGTGGTTGCTTGCAGCTGACCCTGCACCAACGACGCCCTGGCGGTGGCACAGAAATCGTTGCAATTTGCCTGCGCTAGGCCGTGATCACGGCTGTCGGAGCCATTATCCTTACTTTGCGTGTTGCTTTGTAGCATGAGGTACTGCAGGCACAGTTCCATACCACTTCCAGACACCCCCAGGGTACCAAGATAATACATTTGGATACGGGAACGCAGGATACTGGGGTGAAACAGGTGCTGTATATAGCTTCCCTGGGTAAGGTACCAGTCGGTTGCTTGCATCACGGCCTGCTGTGACAGCTGCAGGAGTCGGGTCGGTTCCGCGGAGGACGAGACCTTGAATAATTGGGGCCCAAGCAGGTTGCACAACTCCGATACCTGCTTCAACAGGGGGTCAAAATTACCGTTCTGGTCATGTCGCCTGGACCTCAATATTTGTAGAATCCCCAAACAATTGGCCATATTTGAGTAATGTCCGTAGAGAAACCGCTGACCATCTTCAAGTGTGAAGAGAACGCGACCTTGGGGATCGTTTTCTACCAAGGGGGGCGTCGACGTACGACGGGGCATTGGTCGGTCTGGCTGGTGGCAGCGTGGCTCGTTGACCAGCCGGTGCTCGATTATCTGCGTCAAGCGTTCCACGGAACTCTCTAGCTGGGCCAGTCGGTTACCAAAAGGGCTGATGGCCCCTTCATCACTAGAGTTGCTCGAACCAGGGGCAAAGACTTTTCGGTCTCTGGAGGTGTATTCGCAGGCGACACACGCTCGCCGGCAGGCTCCGCAACGCGGCCGCGCCCGGTCACATCGAATTTTTTTCCACCGACAGTGGTCGCAAGCCGGATCATGAGTTGAGAAATGTAGCGACGCGGGGCTCTAAAAGAAGACAGGTGTGAGTGTGGTGGGCAGTTGACCCGATACAAATGGGAGAACAAACCGAGGCACTTCCGGAGGACTCCATCGTTGCGGGTAATCACCGTGAACTACTATTGCATCGCAACGCCCCATTATAACGGATTGCTGATCATGAAAGGACCCATTGCGCAACACGCTCTGACCGATATTTTCCTGCTTTGGACTTCATGAGCTGAGGTTTCCTTGCAGCTCACCTTCACCTCCCAACAGAGAAGCTCAGTATGATGGCCTCCCAGTGGTTCCCACATTTTGAGTGGACACCTGCTGATGACGGGTAAGCATGCAAGGGGCCACTCAAAACTGTGGGGGGGTAATATTGCGAATAGCAGTTGATGTAAGCAGATGAAAAACCCATTATCCTGCATATACTAAGATCCACGTTGTGGCTGGCTGGCAATACCTGTGGCTGGCTGTCACCGCTTGTTGATTGTTTTATTGCTTATGCACCGGTAAGATGATCCCCGGAATATAATGAGATTCGAAGGAAGAAAGGAGAAAGGGATTAGATCTCGGTACCTTCTGCCCTGCTGTATGCTTTCTCACGTAGTCTAAATCTATTTTTATCTTAACTTGGAGAGTATGAAGACTAGCATTTTCAGATAATATAAGTGCAGTAGCCAATCGAAGGAAGGCCCAGAAGTAATATGTATTCTGAGCTGCTACAGCTAGAACTTTAGTGTAAACAGGCATCACGCCGTTGGTGTCGATGAACATTATGAATTTAAAATGCCCTACTATTATCCCTATTGCTGCTATTTGTCCTCTCTCAGGGTGGCCTTGGCCCTCCCTATTTTCTCACGTGATTTCATCACTAATGAGGACGCAGCTCACCTGGCCCACGCCGATTTCTCGACTGACCAGGCCAACCATCATGAGTCTGAGTCATCTCATCAGCCCTAGACCCCACTTCTAAAAAGGCGATACAGATCTATATTATATATAAAAAACATTCACAATTGCTATAGTAGTAGTGGTAGTAGTAAAACACTTGCTTTCGTCTGCCACATAATAAGACATAGGATGACTGAGGTCTTACAACAGAATTTATATATCATGGCTGCGAAAGCTACATATAATATGATATATTGAATTATAATACATGCTATTGATATCATAGCAGTACAAGATTGTATCTAGTCTGATTATTTATAACATAGGTATATACCTTCAGGTCGCTCTTATCGGTTATCTTTCTTAATGATGAATTCCAAAGCTTGGTCCAAATCAGCCGCTCTTTTAACTTACTAGTTATAGTTCTAATTTTATTAATATATTATGTGACTTGACAGTTAGGCTTCCCAGGAAAGTTAGGCTTCGGAGTCCTGTCCTTTTTATCCTGTATCTGTAGTTCAATGATTCAGATTAAGTACAGAAGTCATCTTTCTATGTTATTTTCTGTCTTTCCTGTGCTACTCTATACTAATAAGTGACTATTCTGTTTGCCTCTACCTCTCACTGGTCTAATACATTTTTATATTATATAACAGTTATCTGGAAGCCTGTATACCAAGCGCCTCAGCTCTTATTTGGCTTCTATGTCCGGGCCATTTCATTGTTTTCTTACCATGATATCCTATGGTTTGGAATCTAATCGGGCTGATGATTGGTTTATAGGAAGATGACTAAATATACTTCTTCTTAACTACTAGTTAGTTAACTACCTAGTTAACGTAAGATATTCTCAAGCGGATGTCGCTCAACTGGTATGATGGCAGTGGTGGACCTCATGTGTGGATTAAGATGATATATAATGAACTGTTTACTTTGGTTTTTCTATTTATCCTCTCTTTCTCCTATTTTTCTTCTCCACCTCATGTTAAAAATCTTCGAGAATAGCTACCATAAATTATATGCTGATGGCTTATGGATTGAGTACCATCATACCAATTGTTAAGTAGATAGGCTCAATCGTCCCCAATCGTCCCGGACTAGTAGTAAATTTATGTTTAGAAAACGTAAGTAAGTAAGACTTAACCTTCAATCATCCAGATTCAAGATATATTTACGGAGCGAGCGTATAAGAGTCAAAGACAGGCAAACAGGTTCTCCATCACTAGCGGAAGGCGTAGAGGGAAAGTAATTCATAGAGTCCCTCCCATCATTATACTTAAAACGTGGAGACACCAATAGCAGCATTCAACTGCGGAGCTTCAGCCTCTTCGCGAGCTTTTTCTCTGCCTTTGGTCTCGACAGGTAGCTGTATCGCAAGAAGGTTTTCAGGTTCACCTCCGACCTCCTGGAAGTCACGATGAACAGTAATCTTCTCACACTGAATATAGATACCCTTATGACCTTGTCAGTACGAAAAGTAACATGACGTCAGTGTAGTCCCGGAAGTTCGAGATTGTTATTGAGATAATATTCATTTTCAGTAACAGCGGAGAGATTGCGCTGGTCTCCCTTCCACTTAACTACCATGATGGACTTGACCAAGTCTGGTCCAGATGGAATGAAAGTCTCAACTAAATCCTGTACATCCCAGGTCTGTCCAGCAAATGCTTCGCTGGGAAAGTCGCGGGTAGTAAAGCAGCCACTCAGTCCTTTCTTCGAAGCTGATATTATGGAAACTGGAAAAGGTTGCACCACTACTGAAGCGATATTTCTGTTGGTATTTGTAACCATCTATTTATTATCCTATCAGTCAATATCACTCTTAGACTTTTCCATAGCAGCTGATCAGGTCTGAATGGATATGGTTTACCAAGTAGAGTGGAGGGTTTAAACAAGTCTGTGGCTCCTTCTTTGTACTCAGAGTACGATAGATAACCTATAATAAGGTGCACAGCCAATATTTCCGGGTCAAAGTTGAGATTATGGTTGAGCTGAGAGGTCAGAAGACCATTGTTAGCTTTTCTAATTCTAAAACCTTGGTATTCAATATCATTGATGATTATCTTGGTATTATGCTTGACTTTGTTTAATATGGACTTGTCGAACTCCATCATAATAGTTTTGGAGTAGTTCAGGGAGAAGAAATAGTTCAAGATCTGAAAATAGTAGACAAATTATCTAATGGATTGGGTTGGATTTCTATGAATATAGTACCTCACTAAAAAAATGAGATGTTGAATGAATTTATTCCTTTACTTCCCAGTATCCTTCGGACTCTTAGATATCGCGGTAAAGCATTAACATTACCAGTGATATAAAGATCTGTATTCTGGGGCTTCAAGCACTTAATTATGCCATTGCTCATTGGCCGCTCTGATAGCCCTGATATCAGCGCTATTATTACCCCGCATGCTTCAAAATTTGAGGGGATTATATCCTTGTTGTTACGAGTCAATTAAGATGAGGACAGATGTCTCGCTGTTATTTAATAAAAGAATAAAGTCTTAGAAGAGAAGAGAAAGGAGGAAAACTATAAGGATATGAATTGGGCCTTTTATAAGCATCCAGCCACAAGCATCTTTCCCATTTCAGAACCTGCGAAGCATCCAAATAAACAAGGCTAACCAGCAGTTGCTTCTCTGAACGGCTTTGAATATTTTTAATCATGAAATTAGACAAGATAATATAATACTTGTCAGGATAGCATATCAGCTTCTTTCCTGCAGTGCCGCTTCCTTAGCTTACATGAGCTGATATATTATCATGACAAGGATATGATTTCCTTAAAGTTGCAAGCCACCCCTGAGATCAGGGCTGTTAGAGTGGCTAATAAGTAACAGTATAGTTAATTACTTAAAGCCCCAAAAGTACAGACCACGCCACTGGTAATTTTGAAGCTTTGCCGCGATATCCGAGAATCCGAAGGATACTGAAAAGTGAACAAAATACTAAATTTGGATACCTTACTTTTGGAATTATTAGAAATCTTTAAACACTTCCAGAGCGTTGGAAGACTAGTGGATAGATAACATGGCCTGGATTATTAGTCACAGAATACACTAATGTCAATCATGGATCTGTCAGACAGTAAGCCTGAACTGAATTTACCGGTAGAGATCTATATAGTAGCCAGGACAACTATATTAAATAATATACTAAACCGCCTACTCTCGAGTCCTGCTCCTGTCTACTGACTGCGCTGTATCAATCCTTTCTCTAAATAATATAGCGCGTGTCCTCTGCTGATCGGAACAGCTTTGTTCCGACAGCGTTCTATTAGTACTTTTGAGTGAGTCAGTAAGAGTTATTCCCTAATCTACTTAATGCCTGAGTTATCCCTACTTTACTGTCCAGCTTTCCATTCTGTTTGCGATGAATGTAGTATGATTATTAAAATCAGATATACAAAAATCCCTCCAATATGTCCGTCCACAGTGATAATAAGGAATCACTATACCTACCCAAGATAGATGAGGCACACGAACAGATTTAGATAGCTGAACAGCTATATACCATCTTTAATTTACAAGCGAAAAAAAAGGATTATTGCCGCAGTTACTGTGATTACATGCTTTTCTCCGCTCACCAGTAATATTTATTATCCTGCTTTGAATACCTTGGCAACTGATCTCTATATATTTTTGTTGTTGATGAATCTGATCTTTACCTTGTATATGGTAGGTAAGCTCCACATAAGAGAAACTGTATATTGCAATACTGATTAATGTAACTTAAAACTAGAAGTATCTAGATTATTCAAGCTATCTCACCCACGATTATTGTAATGTTCTCTGATGTCACTGGCCAACGGCCTGCATACTTTTTTTGCTTTATAGTATTCATAGCAGCTAATATTGGCCTCGCGCTGCAAAGTAATTACATTGTGCTTTTAATCTTCTATTATCTCCAGAGTGCAGGTAGTTCAGCAACAGGGGCATTAGTGAACATGGTGATTACAGACACTGTAACTTCAGCCGAAAGAGGTAGTTATATTAGATATATATTTTCTAGTAAGTGGCAAACTTAAGTTTTCTCTTAGTTTCCTCTCTAAGTTTATTTGTAAGTGTATTTGTCGGCCAACCGGTCAGTCCTGTTCTTGGAGGAATTCTGGTATACACTGTTAGCTGGCAGTGGATATTCTGGTTCTTGGCTATCTTTTCAGGTCCCTTTTTTATCATTTTTGTTTTGTTTAACTCTGAGACATGTAGGAAGATTGTGGGAAACGGGTTGTTTGCTTTGCCTCTATCAAGGATCTTCCCACAGCCCGTGTTCTCTTCCTCTAGAACCAGCTCCGCTCCACTTACCCCCAGAGACAGTACCAGAAAAGAATAGGGTGCCAACTTCTCTATTCTGCTCCTTTCTCTGAAGATTTATTTATTAAAGGAGGAAGGAGCAATCCTTCTTTACAGCGGACTTATTTTTGCGAGCCTGGCAGCTGTGGCTGCAGCTCTATCCTCCCATTTATCCGCGCAGTTCAAATTGAATGAACTTCAAATCGGCCTTTGCTGTATTCCTATGGGAGTCGGAAGCTGCGGCGCTGTGGCGGTTATGGAAAAGCTGGTCAACTTTAACTACCATCGGCATGCGCGCCTGAAAGGAATCATCACAGACAGCCATAACGACACTGACCTGCATGGGTTTCCAATAGAAGCTGCAAGATTGCAAGTCGCATTGCCTGTTCTATATCTTAATTGTACTTTGCTAGTTTGTTATGGGTGGATCTTGCAGAAAGCCCACAGCCTGGGAGCGACTTTGACGTTCCTCTTCTTTCTGAGCTTCACGGCGACAGCGACGTTTGGTGTGCTCAGTACTCTTCTCATTGATCTTTTGTCTGACAAGCCCGGAGCAGCAGGCGCAGCAAACAACCTTACGAGATGCTTACTTGGGGCTGGAAGTGCTGCTTTTATTCTACCCCTAATACAGAGGACTGGAGTTGGGTGGGCTTATACGGTGATAGCTGGCCTCCTAACTATATTGAGCCCCATTGTGTGGGTGATATTAATCTATGGGCAGCAGTGGAGGAGGGCAAGCCAAAATAGTTGAAATTGGAATCTATTAGGGAAAATGCAGGTATTGGTTACGCCACAAAATCTGGTTCTAGACTTCGATAATTACTCAGGTGGTATTTTTTCTATAAAAAATACAAAGCTTAATATATATGCTAATACTATGTTTATCTATAATATTATTTTTTTTTAATATATTTAGTCCTCTCGCCTTTCCTTACAGCCAGTAAAATAAAGAAAGAAAAAGATTACAAAAAATAAGAAGAAAAAATGATTTATTATTATATTTTAACTAATATCATTCTGCTGAGTTAATAGATAATAAAATAGATAATAATTATCATAATACAGCAAGCTTTCATACCACCAAGATTCTCTATTTTCTTAATATATCTTTTTTATCATCTTATCTCTCCGTGCAGCTGGTAAGGTAGAATATAAAAAAAATAATATATAAAAAAAGAAAAAATCATCTGATTATTATATTTTAACCTCCACAATTCCCATAGAAAATAAATAATATAGCAGGTAGAAGCACTCCAACAGTACAGATAATAAAGTAGGTAGAAATATCTTTATAGTACTGGAAGTCCTTACACTGCAGGAGTTCTCTAGTTTTTTTAATATATTTTGTCCTCTCGCCTCTCTGTATAGCAGAGACTATAAAAGAAAGAAAAAAGAGAGAGAATAATCCTATCCTTATCTTTAAATCTCCGCGATTTCTGCAAGAAATAAATAGTAGAGCAGGTAGTAGTGTTGGATTCAGGTCGGGTTGTTGGGTCGGGTTGTCGGGTCGGGTCAGGTTCTTGGGTACCTGGTGTTCAAGAAAATTCTTGACCTGATCTACGGGCTGGGTTTTAATTAGCTAACCTGATCTATTAAGAACTTAAATCAGATTCCAATTAGCTGATCTAATCCGCAGAGCAGGTTAAGATTTTTTAATCTGATTTATTAAGATTTGGATCATGTTTATTAGATTAAAATCCTAATTTAACCTGATAATCTGATCTGACCTATTCTAAGAAGTATGTGTAAGCTAGCAAGGAGGTGTAACGGAGCCAATAGCTAGCATTTCTGAGACTCTGCAGATCAGGAGAGTGAGGGTTTCTGGACATGCGCACATATTATGGTGTCTATTGTAACAACAAATATAGAATAGTTGGTAACATGGCAAGCAAGCCATTTGCAGCAGGAAAACTCAAGGTATTGAACATCTCACCCTTGGACTGCTTTATTGCATGATAATCATCGAGTGAGTGCAATTATAAACATCATGACGGGCACCACTCTCCATTTCCCGGCCTAGTGCGCAACCGCTAATGAGCGAGCCTGGTATATTCCCCTACTGCTGGCCGTTCCATGTTTCAGTTGGTAATCCCTGTTGAAGCGGCAGTTACATGTACCCCATTGGTAAGCTGATACTGAAGTAGACACCCAGAAAGGCATTGAAGAGAACTAGTTACAATTCTTTATGAACGGCACGGCTTTGTTTGACCTAATGACATTGGATATCATGACCAGTACTGTAGACCAAAGAGAGATCTCTTTTTCTGCCTACAGGTCTAGCTTGGTTTCAAGGCCCACCATTGAAGCAATTCTTCTAGCCCCCAGTGTCACTTGCTCCTGATTGAGGGGCGAGTTCTCAACATTAATCGACCATTTATGACTGTTACTAATTGTATCGAGCTGTCAGTCCGAGACAATTTGTTTGCTTGCACCACGGGAACTAAACCGCCATTCTCACAGACGTACAACGCTGCTCGTGTTCTTCTACTCTGTTTCTACTACCTCAGGAATGCCCAATCGCCCTCTGAGATATTCCTCGTAGAATGTCGGTATCTTGGCATAATAAAGGTTTGTGATCGGCTTGGTAAGCTCCCATAAACCTCGAGCTGCGGCTACATGCGGTGACAGATGAAGATGTTCCCAAAACGTCCGGCGCCCCTTCTTCCTTTCTACAGTAAACTCCTTTTCTCCATCTTCCAAACTACATTTGCGAACAATCTCCGCCTTGGATCTTGTCACCTTCTTATAAATGGCCGCCATCTCACAGCAGCGTAAGCTCGCCGGACCGGACGCGGAAGATGCCGCCATTACCTGCCTGGACACCTTTATTCTTGCATAAGTTTGAACAGTATATGCGGCAGCGTCAGCCATTGTAGTCCAGTAAATCTATCTACCATCTATACCACCTCAAATCTAACATCGAATCTGTCTGTCCTCGTCGAGACGCATAGTCCATTCCGCGAACGTGCCATTGATGAAATGCGCAGGTCTTATCGTGCTGGTCATCGCCGCCTGGTCCACAAACGCAAGATTGGGGTCGTAAAGCTGAAAGTCGCCGTAAGAGATATTTGTCCAGTCCTGAGTCCAAGACGCAGCAAGGAAAACCTTGACCTTCGCAGCCTCGGCTGTGCAAAATTGAACGGAGACCACCCTCGAGGTAGAGCTCAGGATCGGTTGTGTAAGCGCATGCAATCGCATCGCACCCTTACGACCGCGGTACATAGTGCAGAGGTGTCATTATATGATGTGCTTTGAGAAATGTTTCAAGCGCCTCCGAATTCGGGGTATCAGCTTTATAATCCTCAAAAAAACATTCCACGAGCCAACGCCTCGCTGGGGAGGCGTTGACCGAATTCGCCTGTGGCCCTGGCTATGAGATGGAGCATCTTGTAGTATAGTCCGACATATTTGGCTTCTAAAGATCAGGTGACATTGCAGCATGCAGACGAGATCTTAGAGCATGTGAAATAGTTAAAGTAATAGGAAGGATAACATGGGTGACAATCAGTGTGAGTGAGAAAATTGGAGGCGGAACGGCTTCGTATAGCAAATCACTGGTAAACTCGTATTCGTGACTGGACATAGGCTTGAACGATATTGGCTAAGGATGTAGATTGGTGGGTGCTTTGAGGAACCATGTAACGAACTCGGAAAGCTAGCCTAAATTGACAACAAAGTGACGAGTGCCCAGGACCAACAAAGTGGAGGCACCCTCATGCTCCCCAGTATCAAAAACGATATTTTAATAATGAGGTCTTATAAATAGCTGGCTGAACCGAAATCAATCCCATTCAACACTTCATGTTATCAGGTTCAGAAGTCTCAATTCAGACTACACTTGAGGTACTTTAAAGATGACTACGACTACCGGAAGCTGCCTATGCAACGCATGTACCTATTCCTACACTGGCGAGCCGACGCTTAAAGTGCGTTCTTCTTCTCCATCTAGAGTCGCTAGCTAATACTTTAGGCTATTTGTCACTGCGCCTCTTGTCACAAAATATCCGGCAGTAGTAACACACTTAACTATACTGTGCCAGAAAAGGCATTCAGCGTTGCGAAAGGAAGTCCAAAATCGTTCTCTACGTCCCACGAGTCTGGGATGACACTTACAGTATTCTTCTGTCCCAATTGCGGAAGCACGCTGTGGAAGGAGGCTACGGCCGAAAATTTCAAGGGGCTGAAAGTGGTGCAGGCGGGCACGTTGGCCGACGCATCGAAATTGGATGAGGGGGTCGATGTAGAATTTTATACTTCAACGAGGGCGCCGTGGCTTATGCCGCAGAAAGACGTTGCGCAGCGAACTGAATTCTAGGCGAGCGGAGTCTAGCTATGGAGGTCAGTCGCTTGAACGTGATTTTGCCAGCCATTGGAGGCAATGTAGCAAGATTCACATTCATGCTTTCTGGATTGCTTTAGCTGCCAGGTTCCTTCAAAAGTGAGTTAGCTATCGAGGTGGAAGCGATTAGGGGAGACCTTTCCAGTCCATTCATGTTGATATATTTGAAATAGTCCCAAAACACTTTCACGATGCATATCTTTAGTTGATTTCTGGACTTTAATATGAGGTTGCGATATGTATCAGGTCTTTCTTTACAACCTACTTGGTGAACCATAATCCCGGCCTGTGTATTTCATGTGTCGCAAGCACTATATCCCCGTACCACCTCAAAATGAACACAAGCTGCATACATGCACCCAGTTTGAGTTTAATTGGAAGATTAGGCTGGAAATTCCCCTGTGCGAACTTTAACAGAAGAGAGTACCTGAAACTTGACTCCTCCGTAGCTTCAGGTTCTTCCACGGTCCGAAATTTGAGATGGCTCACTAGGATTCGAATTGTTTGAAACATCACTGCTGGAATGGTGAAGCAAAGATCGCCTTCACCGAGCCCAAATTTCTCCAGCCAGTCATTCGACTTGTATGTACGCGCGACGATATGAAGCGATGGTATGGATTGAATACGAATATTGAAGTTCGTGAAGATATAGATTTTCGCAAAGGTCAACGTCATCCGCGAGACTTTCTAGCCGGAGGTTTGAGGAAGGAATACAATAATTCTACATTTTCGCAGTTCCCAGTCTTGTGTGATTGAAGTACATTGGTCACCTAATGCATTGGATTGAGAAGATTGTCTAGTGCTGTCTTTTTATCAGGAGCAAAGGTATGTTATACCACTCTGTTGAGAGTTAGATACAGGCGTTCTTGAAGTGTGACGGACACCTGTGCCTGGAATTGTATCTCAATCCACGTTCCAAGCCAGTAGCCGACGGTGAAAGCGCACGAGTAACAACCATACTAAAAGGAATAAAAAGTGTGCAGCGCCGGCCTGGCAGTGCTGTGGCGTCTAGAAATTAGATGTTTATTGATTCCTCAGGAAAGCGCAACCTAGCTGCGTCTATGACAAGCCGGACAGATAAGCTCATAATACAGTAGCATATTACGGGGCACTTTATCCTTGAAGTATATGTGGAAAGCTTTGACCAGTCTCCTGATATAGGGCCTTCTTTATGGGCCCATCCGTGCTGAGGTTATGGGCTTGGAGGATCGACAACCTATGCCTTAGAACTGGGTCTTCTAGTAGGGAAATATTCACAACGAGACAACAGTCAAACAATGTCCGATTAATTTCAAACTACACCAGAGGGGTAATGACATTGCAGTGTAATACTATTAGGGTGCGGGAACCCTAAATCTTTTAATCTACTCTGATTAGTCAGATTTCTGGAAAAGAAGGATATAATACTATTATATTCCTGACTACAATACTATTATATTTTAAAAAGATTTTCTATTAAAATTTTGATATATTTAAACTATACCATTTATTTAGTATTCTTTTAATTCTCAGTAGTATTGCTATATTAGTAGAGTAGATAATTATATTTAAATTTAGTAAGTTAGCAGAGAGAAATATTTTTATTAAAATAATCTCTGGGAGCTCTTCCTGACCGGAGCTAGAATCAAGACTTAGCTCTGGTTGAAAAGGGCTATTTAGAGTATAAATCTATGAGTTAGAGTAAAATCCATGAGTTAAAGCAAAACCTGTGAGTTATAGTAAAATCTATACTAGAGGGGTAATGATATTGCAGTATAATACTATTAGAATATAAAAATCTTAAATACTTTAATCTACTTTAATTAGTCAGATTTCTAGTAAAGAAGAGTACAATACTATTATATTCTTGATTATAATGCTACACCAGAGGGGTAATGACATTGCAGTGCAATGCTATTAGGGTGCGGGAACCCCAAATACTTTAATCCACTCTGATTGGTCAGATTTCTGGCAAAGGGGGGTGCAATGCTATTATATTCCTGACTGCAATGCTATTATATTTTAGGAAGATTTTCTGTTAAAATTCTAATATGTTTGAACTGTGCCATTTATTTAGTATCCTTTTAATTTTCAGCAGTATTACTATACTGGTAGAGTAGATAATTATATTTAAATTTAGTAAGTTAGTAAAGAAAAATATTTTTGTTGGGGTGATCTCCGGGAGCCCTTCCCGACCGGAGCCAGAATCCTTGGCT